AAACAGGAATTAAATTATATATATATATATAATATATATATATATAATATATATATTATATATATATATACACAGTGTTATCATTTATATACACATTGTTGTGCTCATAATTTATATTTACCCTTGGGGGTTGGGGTGTTTGAGGCAGTCTGTTGAGGCCAAGTTGGCCTCAACCTTGATTTTCCTTTTTGTCATCCTTTCAAGTGCTGGGCTTAGAGATGTGCACAACAATACACAGCTTTATAATTTACTTTAAAAATAACCTTTATAGAAGTGGTAATGTGAGCCAGGTGTGGTAGCACATACCTTTGATCCCAGCAGGGAGGGAGAAGCAGGTGGATCTCTATGAGTAAGAGGCCAGACTGGTCTACCAGAGTGAGTTCCACTGCTGTTACACAGAGAAACCCTGTCTTAAAAACAAAAACCAAACCAAAATTTAAAAAAAAAAGTAATTTACATTATAGAAATTTAGAAAAATAAAAGCAAAAAGTTATTTTGAGGTAAGGTCTCACTCTAATTCAGGCGGACTTCCAATTTGGGATGATCCTCTTGCTTAAATTAAGCTGTTCAAGTGCTAGGATTACAGCTGTATACTAGCATGCTTAGCAAAAAAATATTTCCAGCGGCCAGAAATCATCTTCCTATAGGTAGGTGTGTAAATGTGTCTCTTCATGTATTTATTTTTTTTCTTTACCATGTTGAGAATTATGCATGCTAAATGAATGTCCCATCACTAAGCTATACCATAGCCCTACATGTATTTTAATTAATTTCCTTTTAGTAACTAGTTTAAATGAGGCAGTATCCCATTTCATAGCCCAGGCTGACCTTGAGCTTGTCCTCCTTGACTTTGCCTCTATAGTGCTGGGGGTTATAGGTATGTGCTAATCTTCTACCCTACATGTAGCATTAAAAAAATTTTTTTTTGAGTTACTACTTTTTTGGCATTTTCTTTTTTGGGTGGGGAACAGGGTCTCACTATTCAGTACTGGCTGTCCTGGAACTTACTGATAGACCAGGTTGGTCTTGAACTTAGAGATCCGCCTGCCTCTGCTTCTGGAGTGCTGGGATTAAAGGCTTATACCACTATGCCTAGGTAGGGTTTGATTTTGTTGTTTTGTTTTTGTTTTTTTTGAGGCAGGTTGTTACTCTATAGTCAAGGTTGACTTGGAATTCACTATAGAGCCCCGGCTGGCCTCAAACTTGCAGCAATCCTCCTGCTTCCTCATATCTGCATCTCAGTTGCTGGATTACAGTTCTAAGCCACCATGTATGTGTACATATCATTTCAAGGTCTTGGTCTCTCTCTGTCTCTGTCTCTCTCTCGTGGAAGACTAGGCAAGAGGATTGTAAATTTAAGGCCTTCCTGGGCTACACAGTGAGTCTCCAGCCCTTGTCTCAAAAAGACAAAAGACAAATTGGTTGTGAAGGGAGATTTGCTTTCTTTTCCTTTGCAATGCTTGGGGTTGAATTCAGGGTCCTGTGCGTGCTAGGTGAGCATTGTTCCTTTTACTCAACTTTATGGCACACACTTGAGATTGTGTTGATGTCTAGAGCACTGCAGTAGTGGAGAATAGATGGAAGGAGTAGGGCAGCCAGTGTGGTGAGAAGGGACTGGACTACAAAAGTGATAGTGGAGATGGATGGTATGTTAGGGCTCGATTGGTAGATTAAATCAGATGAGTATAGGAAGAATAAGAATGATGGGCTGGGGGCTGGAGAGACTGCGCGTTCTTCTAGAGGTCCTCAGTGAGTTTGCAGCAACCACATGGTGGCTCACAACCATTTGAGATCTGATGCTGCCTGCTTGTGTACAAGCATGCATGATACATAATAAATACATACTATCTTTTAAAAAAAAGAATGATGGGCCGGGCGGTGGTGGCGCACGCCTTTAATCCCAGCACTCGGGAGGCAGAGCCAGGCAGATCTCTGTGAGTTCGAGGCCAGCCTGGGCTACCAAGTGAGCTCCAGGAAAGGCGCAAAGCTACACAGAGAAACCCTGTCTCGAAAAATCAAAAAAAAAAAAAAAAAAAAAAAGAATGATGGGCTTAAGGCAGTTGTGGTGGTACATGCACATAGAATTTGCTGAAGGAGGCAGATCATGAGTTCAAGGCCAGCCTGGGCTATACATTTTGCTGGGCAGTGGTGGTGTACCCAGAGGCAGTCAGATCTCTGTAAATTTAAGGTCAGCTTGGTCTACAATTTGAGTTCCAGGACAGCCAGGGCTGCACAAAAACCTTATGAAAAACAAAACAAACAAAAAAAAAAAAAAAGGGAAAAGTAAGATTTTCATCAAGTGAGGATAAAATGAGGTCATATGGATTGTGTCTAGAGCTACTTGAAAATGTCCCATATTTTGCACTATGGCCTATTTAGTGTAGTGGATTCAAGAAGATGGTATTGGTGAAATTGGACATTATTTTGGGGGCATTAGATTCTCACTAAATTCCATAATAAAATGTTTACCAGCCTAAATATACAAACTATAAATGTTCCAGAAACTACTTTAGAAGTCATAGTCATAAAGATATCGGGGGTGGTACATGCCTGTAATCCTAGCATAGCAAGTGTATGGCCAGCCTAGTCTACATGAGATCCCACCTCAAAAAAAAGAAAAATTATAAAGAAGAATGTTGTTGATAAATTTAAAACTACAGCAAAAGTCACTATAAACAAAACTGGAAGGAAATGTTTGCAGTTAGCATAAGAAATTGAGTTCAGACTGGAGAGATGACTCAGTGGTTAACAGCACTAACTGCTCTTCCAGAGGACCCAGGTTCACCTCCAGCACCCACATGGCAGCTCTCAACTGCCTGTAACTCCAAGATCTGACAGCCTCACACAGACATACATGCAAGCAAAACACCAATGCACGTAAAATAAAAATAAATTATTAAAAAAAAAAAGAAATTGAGTTCGTACCTTTTTTTTTCTCTTAATGTTTTAAAGTTAACATGCAAAGTAATTTGTTTCATTATGGAATTTAATTGAATTGATACATTTTGTATGTAGGATAATGGCCTTCTAAGATGTCTACATCTTCTTGTTTTGAGACAGGGTCTCACTATGTAGCTTAAACTGGCCTGGAACTCAGATCTGCCTGACACTGCCTCTGGAATGCTTAGATTAAAGGTATATACCACACCATCATGCCTGGCAATTTGTCTACATCCTTAATCTTTGTAACCTGGGGATGTATTACTGGACATACAAAGAATTAAGGATGAAAGAGGAAATAAGGTCATCTATCATTGGATTTTTTGTCGTTGTTTGTTTTTCCCAGACAGAGTTTCTCTGTGTCACCCTGGCTGTCCTGGAACTCACTTTGTAGACCAGGCCGGCCTCCAGCTCATAAAGATCTGCCTGCCTCTGCCTCTAGAGTGCTGGGATTAAAGGTATGTGTCACCATGCCTGGCTCCATCATCTGATTTTTAAGACAGATATGGAGCTTGGGCCTATAACTTAGAGTGCTTGCCTATCCTCGGCTAAAGCTCTGGGTTTGATAAAGCAGGCAATGCCTAGGATAGTACAGGTAGGTTCACATGATTACAAGGATCCTTAAAGTGGAAGAGGATGGGCTAGGGATATAGCTCAGTGGTAAAGCATTTTCCTTGAGTTTTCAAGATCCTGCCTGCGTTCAATCCCCAGTCCCCCTCCCCAAAAGGAAGAGAGAGACAAGTGAGGCTAGAGAGATGGAATATGAGAAAGACCTGTCTTGCCTTTGATAGCTTTGGAAATGGGGAAAGGGAGCTAGTAGCCAAGGTTCGTGAGGATCCTCCAGAAGCTGGGAAAAGACAAGGCAGAAAGGAGCTGCATCTCTGTCAATCCCTTGATTTTAGCTGGATGAGATGTGTTGGACTTGGGGCAAACATGTTTTGTCTGAATTGTTTTATCCACCAGAGAAAGCTAGTACATACCCAACCAACAGTGCACCAGAAAACGGGGTAAAACCTGTAAATCAGCAATTATTAAACATGTGAAAATGGGGGCTGGCCGGGGTGGCGCATGCCTTTAATCCCAGCACTCGGGAGGCAGAGGCAGGCGGATCTCTGTGAGTGCCTGGTCTCCAAAGCGAGTTCCAGGACAGGCGCAAAGCTACACAGAGAAACCCTGTCTCGAAGAAAAAAAAAAAAAAAAAGTGAAAATGGATTGGGGATTTAGCCAAGTGGTAGAGCACTTGCTGAGCACTGCAAGGCCCTAGATTTAATCTCCAGTAAACAAATAGTAAACAAAAACAGGCAAATCTCAAGTCTCAATACAGGACCAAAATGTGAAGACGCTTGTTTTTGTGGCCTTGGGGGCAAATTAGCTGATTCAGTGGGGAGAGAAGAGCAGGATGGACATGTAAAGCTGAGAAGAAATGATTAGAAAGATACAGAAGCTAAACATGGTGGCACACACCTGGAGTCCATGAGCTTGGGAAGTTGAGGCGGGAGGATAATAAGTTGGGAGACTAGTGTGGGTTATAGCAAGACCCTGTCCCAAAACAACAATTTATAAGTCAAATAGATGAAGAGAAGGACTATGTGTAATACAAACTACAGTTGTTTATATCATTGGTATTTAGGTGAATGGATGCATTTTTCTTTCACTTGGTGTGAAGTGTTTGTCTCTTAAGAACAGCACTAAACTGTTCGTCTGGCCCTGCAGCTTTACCCTAGAGAATATAGACCTGTGGACTCCTAAAAGTCTGAAAAAGAAAGTTAAGACTGCAGAATGCTTCATTCTTTCTCTGGAACAGCGGTTCTCAACCTTCCCAATGCCGTGACCCTTTAGTACAGTTCCTCATGTTCTGCTACTCCCTAACCATAATTGCTGCTGTTAGGAATCATAGTGTTTTTCCAACAGTCTTAGGCAACCTGTGTGAAAGGGCCGCTCAGCCTCTCAGGTTGAGAACCAATGCTCTAGAACCTAATCTGTAGGGGATATGGCTCTAGAAGAATAGGGAGCTGACATCTTTACTAACCTAGACTTTAAGGAAGACATAATGGGACTTGTCTAGTTGAACTACTTTATTAATTTTTTCTCTATCTGTCTCTATTTCCATACCCACACCTGGTTTGGTTTGGGCTGTGGGATACTGGGTACCAGGACTATCATCCTTTACTGACTGGATTTAGGCAGCAGGGGTCTATGGACACCTAGAAATTTAGCTAACAACCTTTGAAAACCTCTGGTAGGGGGAGCCTGGGGTGTGGAGGATGGGAGCTGCTTTTCCATGGAGGCCCAAGGACAGTGCTTACAATAGTGAGGATTCTGGGTATCACCAGCTATTAGGCCTGCTCTTTGTTGATCCTGGAGACCAGCAGCGTTTGGGAGAAGCTGCTGAGCAATAACAGTGTGTGGAGAATGCTGAGTTCTATACTGAGACTTTTTAGAAAGTCTGTGTATAGGGGCTTCTGTTGGTCTGCAGGCCTGGGCAGGGTTGTTTTTCCCTGTGGCAGTGGATGATTCCAATCTTGCAGTCCCTCCTCCACATTTCTCTGCTTTGGATTTTCTGGGACTCCCTTTCTTTGGGGCTGAAAGTAGTACTAAAGTCTTGTCTTGTCTCCTGTTAGAGACCAGAACCCCTGAATTTGAGCAGTTTTCAGTAGCCTTTGTATGAACGTGCCCTGGGGGTGGGATCTGGACTGCTACCTTCCATTTCATCCTCTTGTTTTCTGGAGACTCTTGCTCTGCTCTGCTGGAAGACGAGTGAGAACATTGAGGGGCCTGGGCAGGCTGAGGTTCTGCCCTTTGAACTTTTGGGGGGTCAGCACTTGAAGAACAGGGGTCCAGATTGAGAGGATGAGCCTGATGTGGGGGACAGGAGGAAGGTCCCCAAGATTCTGGAGTTGGGAAGTTAAGAGCTGGGCAGCTGCGAAGTGAGTGATGTGGGCCTGGGGATTTGGAAGTGGTGCTCTGCTGGAGTTTCTTTAGTCTGAGCTCTAGTTCTCTACTCCATTGCCAGGGATGGTTCACAGGGTGGTCACACACCCCTGAGACAGCCCTACCCTGGGGAGATGGGACCTTTGCCTTGGCTTCTGAGACCATCTTTTCCTTCTGTAGGCCAGGCTGGGTAGGCTCAGACTTCCAAGCTCTAGCTAGAACGGGAGGCCAGGATGTTGGTTGCAGAGGATTCACTACTTGAGGACTGGGGGCCCGGGAGGCCTCTATTTCTTGAACATTTCTACATACAAACTCAGTGTTGGAGTGTGGCTCATGTGTTGGAGCAGAGAGAAAGTTGGGGACTGGTAGCTCAGTGGCCCAGGAGTCCTTTCTCTGTTCTACTGCTGATTTCATAGGTTTACAGTTGCATTGATCTCCAGAAGGCTCACTTATGTGAGACTTGGAAACAGAATTTGGAGGTGGGCTAGATTCCCAAACTGAGGATACAGAAACACAACAGTTTTCATTCTGCTTCATGTACCCTCCAGCAGGCTTAGATAGGACTCCTGAGGATCTGGCTCCAAGCAGGTGTTGGAATGAGCTTTGAGTTGGACACTCAGAAGCCAAGAAATTATTTTTTCTTTGAATGTCCCCATACCAAACTTTAGATTTAAGTGGGTTCTCTACGGAGCTAACTCTGAGGGGCGGCTGTACAAGAGTTGGGGATGGGTTGAGGTTCAGAAATGGAGGCTCAGAAGACAAACATTTTCTTGTATGCTCAGTATCCTTCCATGTAGCTTCTGATCTAGGGAAGTTGTGCATAGTATTGATTCTTTGTGGTTCTATAAAGGGGGCTAGAGGTGGTGTATGGGCAGGACATGGGGAGTCAAACACCCGGAGATTCCTTCTCTGCCCCTTTGTTTCCCACACAGCTTTAGACTCTAAAAAGACTCTTTGGGGGCCCATTGCGAAGTCTGGAAGAGAGGCAGAGGGAAGGTTAAGAGATGAAACTAGATCTGCATAGACACAAAGATTTTCTGTACTAGGTCTACCCTTCAATGGAGTCTCTGACCCCAATGGGACACATGCAGGGATGGTTTCATAGAACCCCATGTTGAAGTTTAGGGTTGGAGTTTCAGAGGCCCAGAGATTGCCCGAGTTTTCCCTGTGTTGCCATTGAGGCTCATATCCACCCAGATCCTCTAGAGGACTCTCTTTCTGGTGTTCTGACAGGGTGTCTAGAGGAAGGCAGGGGACTGGCACTGGAGACTTAGAAACAGATGGTTTCTCTTTATCTCCCATGTTTCCCCCGAAGTCCTTGGGTGTAGAAAGTCTTCCTTTGGGGATAATATTGTTTACTTCTGACAGAGAACCTGAGGGTTGGCAGGAGGCTGACATTGGGGGATCAGAAGCTTGGGGACTGTCTTTATGTTGTATGATTCCCCACTGAGCTTCATATCCAGGGGGAGTTCCTGGAGAGCCAGTTCCTTGAGGGTCTGTCATGGGTACTGTGAATTGGCAAGGGGCCAAGATTGGAAGCTCATAGATCTGAGGGTTCTCTTTTTGCACTGTGGTTTCCCAGAGAGCTTTCAATTCAGACAGGTCTCCTATAGGGTTGGCTGTTTGGTATTCTGTCAGGGAAATTAGGGGTGGGTTTGTAGTTGGCATTGCAGATTTAGAGGCTTTTGGGTGCTCATGTTGTTTCATGGTTATCTGTGGGGCCTCAAACCTAGTTAGGACTTCCTGAGGATTAGAAAGATACAACAGAGAGGCAGAAGGTGATTCTGGATTGTGTTGGTGGAGGCTGGGATCCCCTGGCATCTCCTTCCAAGCCTCAGATGAATAGAAGAGTGTGGAAGGTCTGGTTTTTTGGAGTTCAGGCTGTGAGTGTAGGGCTTGATTCTTAGAGACACAAGGAACCTCTTTCTGTGGGGTAAACCACTGTGTTTGTGCCTCAGTGTCAGATACGATTCCCTTGCAGCCCATAGGCAAAGGCTTAAGACTGGAGGATACTGATGGGATAAGAGGGGAAGGTGGAGATGGAACTAGTTGAGGACCAGGTGCCATTCCTTCCAGATTTCTCATGGTGTGGGCTTCAGGGGTAGGATAGTAAGTTGGGGAGTGGTAATAGGCAAGCAACAAGTTGTACACAGGCAGGAAGGCAACCTTGTTGAAGAAGACAGAAGGACAAATAGACAACTTGAGTGGAGAAGGGCTGTCTGAGCTCAGGAAAATAGCCTCCAAGGACTCACTGTGTAGCGAGGGAAGACCCCAGAAGAGCTGGCTTTCTCTCTGCTGCAGGGAACTCCCTGAAGCTATCTTGTTCCTCACAGGTAGGTTGGTCAGGATCTGGAAAGTAGGGAAGGATCTGGAAGGGCTTGAGGGTTGTGTGAGGACTTGTTCTCGTATCTCTGTGGCCTTTAGGAGGCCCTCAGAACTACAGGATGGCTGGCGTGGGGCTGCAGTGAATTCATTTCCAGTGGGAGCGTCTTTGGAAGGAGAATATGGTTTTAGTGGGTCCAGAGATAATGATTCTTCTTCCTTCTCTTCCCCATATTCCTCTTCTTCCTCTGACTTTTGCTTCCACAGGCAATCAAGGAAGGCCAAATGGTGCAGAAGTTGTAGTCCCTAGGGAATGGAGCATAATACAATTCAGTATGATGGCTTCTCAGAGACATGTGATGTGTCATACATTCATTAGTCTCTGTTCTATGGCTCACCTACCCCACAGCTCTGGTCGGTGGTCACTTACCCTGCTCTTCACCCATTGTTAATGTCAGAACCCAGTTCTTACTTAGAGTTCAGCATTTCTTCATGTACCCTAGGGTCAGTGATTAGTCACTTGCTTTCAAGTCATGTCACTGAGCACTCAACTAGTCACTAATCTATGGATTATAGTCACATATCTGGGGCCACATCCATATCAATGACCCTCCATTTGACCTCACATGTCATTCAATAGTTATTCATCCAGTTCTATATCCAAGGGCAGTGGTCACCTGTAGCTGGAGTTTTCTCTAGTCCTGCCCAGCCCCACAGACCCCACAACTGCTTATAAAATAATCACTCAGAAGCTCATATTAATTAAACTGCTTGGCCATTAGCTCAGGCTTACCTACCATTGTCTAGCTCTTACACTTATACTTAGCCCATTTCTGTTAATCTATATGTCACCTTTACCTGCTGCCTTTACATGCTGCTCCCTGGATGGCAGGCTGGCGTCTCCTCCTCTGCCTTCCTGTTCTCCCAATTCTCCTCTCTGCTAATCCCACCTATACTTCCTGCCTGACTACTGGCCAATTAGCATTTTATTTATCAGTCAATCATAGCAACATATTTTTACAGCATACAGGACATCCCACAGCACTTCCCCTTTTCTGTTTTTTTTTTTAAAGGAAGATTTTAACTTTAACATAGTAAAATTACATATAACAAAACAATTATCAAGTAAGAATTATAGTTACAATGTTAAAGATATCCTATATTTGTGAGTCTAAGGTTTCATATCTAACTTATCTTTTATCATAACTGAGGAAATTATAACTATCTAGTCTTCAACTACATCAAAGACCTCAGAAGGATATACTATTACCTGAGAAATGGGGGAATGACGCAAGCAACTTTAGGGAGTCTTGTGAGAGTAGACAGAGACAGCTGGCAGTCTGGACAGTCATCCAGTTTCTCTGTAAAGTTGGGGCATCTGTCTTCAGCCCACAGGCCTAGAGTCTCTCAGTCACTTCTCTCTGTGTCCTATAGAATGTCTGGCAGTTTGCTCTGTGAAGCAGGAACCTGAAGGACCATTTCATCTTACAAAGTTCAGTGGTCACCTTCCTATGGGTCCTGCATGTCCAGTTGATTAAGCAGTCCAGGCAAGAATAGTTTCTTGCCCAAATGGCTTTTTTTTTTTGCCAAGGTGAAGATAAACTCTATATGGAGTGTCTTTAATGCCCATCCTCCTCTCTGAAGTAAATTTGGTGCTGCCAGAAGCAGACATGCCTCACTGTCCAGAAAGTCTAAAATTTTAAAACATTTTAAATGCCATATTCTGTAGGTCTTGGAAGTGTTTGAAGATTACCTATCTATCTGAAATATATCTGTATATACCTAGAAAACTTAACTAACATGGCTACAAGTATGATTATCATAGATGACTAATTATTAATCTATTTCTTAATTATCCATTACAATTTTAAATGAGCTGTACAAATACAATACCTTAAACAAGAGTAGAAATATACACACAGTATAACAAATTTAACTTTAAATTTGTATCAATAAATTAAAATCTATACCAATGTAAAACATTTCAAACAAGTTGTTGCTCTTTAAAAGTAGGTTCATTAATCTACCCTTTCATCCTATCATGTCTATATCATATGCCCCTTTCTTCTTTAGAAAGAGATTGCATTTATAGTCAACCTGTTTTAAATTAAAATATTGGTTTTTCTCTGTCCCACACCAGAGGGCTCTTCTGATATGGGACACAAGAATCTCTTAACCTTTTATTTTAGTAATATGCTTGGGTTTAGAGCCAATTCCATCTCCAAAGCCAGCGTGGTATATTTGGGAATTTGGGCATAGCTTCTCTTACTACTTCCTGCTGGATGGGGGTGCTGTATCTTATGGGGACACAAAGAAAATTTTAGGTTTATGGGGTAGTCTGTGAGGCTGTATTGTCTGAGCCAGTTGCCTTGAAACCATTCTGGAGATTGGATCATCTGGGCCATGGTGTCATCAGAGACCTTTCAGGGGGTCTTGGCTGGTCTCAAACCTGATGTATCTTAATCTGGAACAAATCCATAGCCTCTGGCTTTCTGTGGAAACAAAAGCAGAGCCTCCTTTCCAAAGAAACATATCCTTAGATCCAAATTTTGAAGTCAAGGTACCTTTAAAATATACATATTGGCTTAACTCAACAGCTTTTATAATCAAATGTTTTTCTGCTAGTTAAGAATCCCAAAGACAGCACAATCTAGATTCTCTGTGTAATATCCATCTTTATGTGGCTTATTTTTTATACTACCTTTACTGTCTCTTTAAAGACTTTATTTTTAAACACTATCTGTTTATGTAACTACATATATTCCTTTTTCTGTCTCTTTCAAGCCTACATTTTTTACACACATTGTAAACCATTTAAAGTCTTGTTTCATCTGAATCTGACTTATTGTGTAACTATTGCTTTAAACTGCAGTGGTTAGTACTAAAGCAGAAGTCTTGGCTGTTAGCCGCGCCCAATTTAGTTTTTCAACATGGTGGAGATAATATACTGCTAGTGCTGGGAGCCATAGTGGGTCTATGCTTCTATCCAAGCAGCGTGTAGCCTAGAAACCTTTTTCTTTCTTTCTTTCTTTTTTTTTTTTTTTTAACTAGCAAAGGCTAAATCCACCACACAGCAGCAGCGTAATGTGCAGCTTGGAGGTGCCTCCTTCCCACCATACTGCAGGTCAAGCTCGCACACCCTGAACCTGCCATAGTAGCTCAAACCCGCCTGCTGCTGCTAACTTGAGAGAGATAAATAGGAAGCTGTTTTTAAGCTCTGTTTTCACAATCTTGTTTCTCAGGTTTTAGGTGGAAACTCTTGCCAACCCGTTGGGCTCCATTTTGTAGTTGGAGTTTTCTCAAGTCCAGTCCAGCCCCACGGACCCCACAACTGCTTATAAAATAATCACTCAGAAGCTCATATTAATTAAACTGCTCGGCCATTAGCTCAGGCCTACCATTGTCTAACTCTTACACTTATACTTAGCCCATTTCTGTTAATCTATATGTCACCTTTAGCTGCTGCCTTTACATGCTGCTCCCTGGACAGCAGGCTGGCCGTCTCCTCCTCTGCCTTCCTGTTCCCCCAATTCTCCTCTCTGCTAATCCCACCTATACTTCCTGCCTGGCTACTGGCCAATTAGCATTTTATTTATCAGTCAATCATAGCAACATATTTTTACGGCACACAGGACATCCCACAGTAGTCACCTACCTTGCCTTGCATCATTATGTCTCCAGAGCACCAGGGCTGAAGCTTTTGCCATTTCCCAAACTGCCACCATCTTCGGAGCTGCCACACCATGAACAAGAATAGTATCACCAGATTCCCTGGACTTTGGAGGCAGATGCTGCTGCTGCAGTGTCTGCAGGCCAGAGCATGGGTCAGCTGGCCTTGGAGAAGCCCCATATCTCCCTTAGCCTTAAGCAGGTCTTCCAGCAGCCATTCCATTTTCTTCAGTTTAGTGGCAGTTTTTTTGAGGTCATCACTGCATCATAGAACACAGAACTCCCAACCCCCAACATGGATCCCAGAGCCGCCTACTGGAGCTTAGGGCCAAAAATGTTACCTCTGTCAGACAACTCACAGTGAAATCTCAGTGCTGTCCTTATGTCTTCATTGCCAGGATCAGAGCTATGCATGCTTTAGGACATGCATTTTAACATGGAACTATGGCATCCAAACTCCAGTTCTCACTTCCTGTCTGTGAAACCTCAATCAAATAACTTAGTACCTCAGGTTTTTTTGTTTATTATTTATTTATTTTGTTTTATATTGAGACAGACCCTCTCTTCATAGCCCTGCCTGTCCTGGAACTCGCTCTGTAGACCAGGCTGGCCTCTAACTCAGAGATTCACCTGCCTCTGCCTCCCGAGTACTGGGATTAAAGGTGTGTGTCACCGATGCCAGGCTGTCCTCACACTGTTGAACTAAAGTAGTCCTCTTTAGCCTCTTGCGTAGCTGGGACTGTAGGCTCAAAGAAGAATAAATGTGTAGAAGTTTAACATCTTCAAAATTTGAATTTCAGAGAAAAACTACAAATTCATTAATTAAATTAGCAAACTACATTATCCATACATAGTAAGTGTTTGTAGTTTACCTAAACAGAAGAGAATGAGAATTGGCACCAAACTTTTCTGTTTCTTTTTGTGCTGCTTTTTTACTATAAAGTTCAATTATTGTTCAGAAAAAAATGGATAATTTTCTTTGAAAAACTGTATTGGTTTTGTGTGAATTGTGGTTATTTGGGAGCAATGAGACCACCGGTAAGTTAAGTCATCCTACTTCCTAGTCTGAAAATGACAGAAAGTCTTTGTTTCAGTCTGTAAAGATACATGTGCCCTCAACTGGCAGACAATAAATACAAAACAAAAAGCTATGAATCTAAGGGCATGCAAAGAGGAAAAAAATCTCAGAAGTGCCCAAAGTGGCAACATGATTGGCTGGAGTATGAAGGTCTTTTAGTTACCTTAGTCCTTTGCCCCATGTGTCAGGATGTGTATGAACGTGGTCATTGGAATCCCCATTTTGTCAATGTGTGCTTCCATGTACCACTGATCCAGTTTGCTCATCTGTAATTGATGGTGATTGTCATCAGCTCAGGTAATCCTTCTGAGTGGTGCAAATTCTCCTTCTTCCTCTGTACCAGGCTTTTTCTTTTGAGCCACCAACCAGCTCCCAAATCATGACACAGAGACTTATTATTAGTTGTGAATGCTTGGCCTTAGCTCTTTTCTGGCTAGCTCTTTTAACTTAAATTAACCTGTTTCTCTTCATCTACCTTTTGCCTCTGGGCTTTTCACTTTCTTTCTGTGTATCTTCCTTTCACTGCTTCTTGTGTCTGCTGACTGGCCCCGGTGTTTCCTCTGTTCTCTCCCTCTCCTCCTCCCCCCACCCCTCCTCCTCCTATCACTTTTTTTTCCCCAAGACAGGGTTTCTCTGTGTAACCCTGGCTGTCCTGGAACTTGCTTTGTAGATCAGCCTGGCCTCAAACTTGTAGAAATCTGCCTGCCTCTGCCTCCTGAATGCTGGGATTAAAGGCGTGCGCCACCACCACCCGGCGCCATTTAACGTTTCAACAAACATACTGAGAAAAAGGTGAATCAGTGGAGCTATAGCTTCATTTATTACAGCATTCAGTATTTATCAGCTGAGTTTTTCCCAGTGAGGCCAGAATATCATGTTCCTCTTCTGTCAATGAAGCCATCTGTGTTTGGTCATGATGAAGGCCCTTTTGAATCCCTAAATCTATAACTGTTCGCAGATGGTAGACATATCTGATGTTGTCCTCTGAGGGGCTTCTTGGTCATCTTGGTCTTGGCGCTTTTGATCGACATGGTAGTTTTATCCCTGCACAACTGTGAGAGTCATCATGCCTTGGTAAAACCCTTGCTGTCATGATCTCTCATTTCTCGTCCTTCAGCATCAGTGTAAAGGGGAGAACACACAACAAATAGGCATTTATCACTAAATTTCTCCTTGCTCTCAAGGGTTAACCAAATTCCCTTTTCAGAGACCACAGTCTTTGAGACTATATGTTGCTAGAGCTCATTTCTGTCAGCAAAACACTTTACAATGAGGAAACTAAAGGAAGAAACGACCATCTGGAATACCAGCTTTCTGGTTCTGCTCAGCCCTGAAAATGGAAGATCTGTACAGCTGACGAATGCCCACCAGGTGGCAGTGTGACACAGTAGAACAAAGGTCCCAAGACTCACTTTCAGAGTCTTGATTTTGGACAAATGATTTAACTTCCCCGAGGCTCAGATTCCTCCTTGAGGTCCTCTTGGCCTGTATCCCTCACACCATGCTTTACAGAACATATGGGACAATGATAAGAAAGTACTTTAAAGTATACAGTGTTACTGTGTGACTGAGCTCCTTAGTTGTCATTGGCCACTCAGGGACCCCAGAACCTCCCACAAAGGACTGTTTTAGTCAGCTTCTGTACTACTTTTGCTTGCTTCCTCTCCATCACATGTGACCAAGCCTTGGAGAGCTTACCAGAAAACAGCCCATGAGACCCAGGACTCACTTGCTCTTGTGGTGGGTAGGGGGTGGGGATGGGGGTAGTATTCATTAATCTCTTCTGTATGTTTTTTTCCTGGCATGACTCATGCCACTTTAGAGCCCTAGTGCGGGCTGCATTGAGATCAGGGGTGGAGGTGAGTAACTGAGAATTTATGAAAGAATAAAAGAAGGATCATAAATTAGTGATAGGAGAATGTGACAGACTCCTCAGGCTTTCGAGGCCTTCCTGTCCCCATTCTGCCCCTGTCTGCAGCAGGTACTTCTGGTCTTTTCAGCCATCTGGAAAAGACTCCAGGTGAAGGCATCTTGCAGCAAGTTCCCTGATGTAGCAAGAGTAGAAATGGACCTTATCTTTGGGGAGGTTAGGAAAGATGCTGCCCTTGCAGTGTTCCCGGCTCCCACAGTTCTCTGCTCCTGCAGTGTCCCCCCATTCTCTGCCCCTGCAGTGTCCCAGGGTTCCCACAGTTCTCTGCCTGAGCTTTCCTGACTTCTTTGGCTTCCACCACCCCCCCCCCCTCTGGAAAACCATTAGACAGTTTCTTTGTGTGATCCTGTTCAACACTAGCCTATGTATGAACGTGTCAGTTACACACAATAGAAACCACATATATGCACTAGCTATAGAGGCCTGGGGATCCTAAGAGACCCCGCTTCCCATGCCATACTCTACCTCAGCCTTGTAATTTTGCCCAACTTGTTGGCTTCCCTCCCCATGTCTTCATTTACTGTAAGAACAGTAGCCTCTGCCTCTCCATCACAAAGGCTGCTTTTTTTTGCCTTTGTCCATGTATTGCCACTAACCTCCTTTACTCATCTACCTGCCTTTGAAAGTGGTGACACCTAGTTCCATGTATTTATTTACTTGAGTATGTGTGTGGGCACAAATGCCCCGCACACGCGTGGAGGTAAGACCACGGTCTGCAGGAATTGATGCTCTCTTTCCGCCATGAGGATCCCAGGTGTCGAATTCCGGTTGTCAGGTTTGGCAGCCAGCACCTTTAGTCTCTCTCCTTTAGAGCTTGCCTAGAGACCTCATGGGTCTTTCTTGTTATTCAGTTAACCTTGGATTCCACTGCTCTTGGCATTCTTTTTTCTGAACTTGAATTTGTTAGTTTTCTTCCTGCCAGTTCTGCTGCCTGTTGGATCTGCAGTCTAGCCCCACTGTACCACAGCTGTGATGCTCTGGGGGCCTTGAACTGAGATCAGAAAAACACATCCTTAGGCAGTTGTTTTCCAGCAAAGAACCTCTTAGTTCAGGGTCTCTCCTTCCAAATGAACTTAGTTTTCATTAGATGGGGTCCTGCCCTCAGGGCACCTTTCTCATTATCTCCATGCAGAACATAAGGTTTCTCTCTCATCTTTTACATTTATTCATCTTAATTTTTTATCTTTCCGGTTTCATGTTGTGTGTATGCCTGTTTTTGCATATGTGTGGGTCCATGTGTATGTGTGTGTGCACATACACATGCCCTTTTGAACATAAAATATTTTTGCAGTGTATAGCCATTAACTCATGTTTGTAAATACTGATTTATGCAGGAATCTTTTTTCTAATTTCTTTTAGACTGAATGTGTTGTGTATGGGTTTTACCTGCATGTATGTTGGTGCACCATGTGTGTGCAATGCCCAAGAGCGCTGAAGAGGGTGTTGGTTCTCCTGGAACTGGAGTTGCAGATGTTGTGAACTATCATGTGGTGGTAAGATAAGAAAAATACAAATAAAAATCTTTGTACATACTTTTATTTTTATCTGTGTAATTTCTTTTTACTAGTTCTCTTTATTTCATGTAGATCTGAGTTACTCCTTAGTTTCCTTTATATCAACCTGAAGGAACCTTGAGGAATTTTAGGACATATTTTCTGGTGATGAATTTTCTTAGTCTTTATCTAGGGATGTCTTGATTTCTCCTTCAGTGTTTTGTTTGAGACAGAGTCTCACTGTGTAGCCCCAGCTGTCCTGGAACTCACTAAGTAGACCAGGCTGGCTTTGAACATCCAAATATCTACCTGCCCTTTCCTCCTGAGTGCTGGGATCAAAGGTGTGAGCCACCTTTATTTTGTTGGTGTCTGGCTTTAGCTGTACCATCCTTCAGGTTTCCCTCAGACTTGCTATCTAATCCAAGCTGGACTCATTCGTGGTCTTCCTGCCTTTGTCTCTCCATTGCGGGATTACAGCAATACACCTCTGTCTCCTTCCTTTATGATAGGTAGTTTTTCTGGGTATAGAATTTCCCTCCAACATTTGAACCATATTACCAGTGCTTTCTGGTTTGCATGACTTCTCATAAGAGTCGGCTCCAAGCCTGACTGAAGTTGGATGCAATCTGTCCAGTTGTGGGTCTTTTCATTGTCCCACACACCCACTTGGGATTACTCTTTTCTTGTGCTGGGATTGAACAAGGCCTTTCGCATGCTAGGCAAGCACTCACCAATGATCTCCGTCACTGAACTTTTTGGGTATACATATTAATAAGTTCTCCCATCAAATTTGGGGGAGTTTTCGGTCATTTTTTTCCCTCTATCTCCTCCTCTTCATCCCTCCCTTCTAGTGCTAGGGTATCTATCTGACACAGGACTTTGCATATTTCTTACCCTTTCTCTCCTCTGTTTCTAGAACTTCCATTATTTGTTTGCCTGGTGGTGTTTCACAGGTCGTAAAGGCTTTCTTCCTCTTTCTTTATTCTTTTTTCTCTCCATTCTTCAAAGTGAATAATTTCATTGACCTAACTTTAAGTTTATGGATTTTTTTGATATATATTTTTTATTTTACAATATCATTCAGTTCTACATATCAGCCATGGGTTCCCCTATTCTCCCCCCTTCCACGCCCTCCCCTTACCCAAGTTTATGGATTTTTGTCTGTATTCCTAATATGTTAATATTCTTACAAAATTTTCATTTCAGATATTGTATTTTTCAACTCCAAAATTTCAATTTGTTCACTTAAAAACTTGTCTCTCTGTATTTTACTTTCTCCTCCTCCTCCTCCTCCTCCTCCTCCTCATTTTCTTCTTGTCCTCTCTTTTGTCTTCTTTTTTCCCTTCGTTTTTTTGAGACAAGGTTTCTCTGTGTAGCCCTGGCTGTGTATTTTACTTTCTTACATGCATGCATGTTTTGCTTGAATGTATGACTGTGTACCACGTTCATACAGTGCCTAAGGAAGCCAGAAGAGGGCACACGATCACCCATAACTGAAGCTACAGACAGTAGGGAGCCAGTTGTGAGAGGGGGCACTAACAGATGGCAGTTGTGAGGGCAGTGAGAGGGGCACTAACAGATGGTGGTTGTGGAGGGCAGTGCTCAGGAGCAGAAAACTAGACGGGCTGCATGTGTGCATCACAGAGAGGGGCAGCTTTTCAGTTTCCTCTTTAGGAGGATATTGGAGATTTGGAAGTTCGTTCATAGTCCAAAGAGGCCAAAGAGAAGGGAGGTCCAAGAAGGTTCAAGTCACAGTCAGATGTCCTGACAGCCAGAGAGCTGAGAGGTGTCCCGAAACTAAATGGATGAGTGATTCCAATGACTAAGATGATAAGATCTAGGGTAGCCAAGTCTGAAGACATACTGTCATACAAAATGGACAAATGATTGCTATAGTTGTCATTACAGAAACACACATACACACACACACACACACACACACACACACACACACACACACACACACACACACTGAAAATAATTGGCCAAATGAGAAAATCCAATAAAGATCCATCCAGGAAACACTCCCTAGTTTCTTGACTTTCATAAGGTTCTTCCTTCCACTCCCCTTTTTTCCTTTTTCCTCTCTCTCTCCTTTATTGTGTGTGTGTGCCTGTGTGTGTGTGTGTGTGTGTGTGTGTGTGTGTGTGTGTGTGTGTGTGTATGTATATGTGTGTGCATTCCAACAAAAGGTTATCTTACCTCAGATAACCTGGTTTCTAGGATTTCAGGGTCCCATGCTCCCAGCAGAGTGTGTTCAGTGGAAATATGAAGACAGGACAATTTCCTAGGTTCTGTGTGTTCACAGAGGGGCCAGAAGGAGAATTCTGGTCCAGGACATCCAGATCCTGAAGTTTTAGGTCTCAGGGAAGACACAAGATAATATTTAGCCCCAAGTGAATGAGACCAGGAGAGAATGGAGTAAGATTATTCAGGGTGGGGTCTACCCTACCCAAGCAGACATCTTTGTGATCCAGACCCCCTGGTTTGGGGAGCAGGAGGAAGAGCCTCCCACAGGAAGTGCCTCATGTCAGAGGATGGGAGCCTTTGTCAGTGTTTCTGCGCAGGATGAAGAGTCAGGAAGGCCCAGAGACGCCCAGGGTCCATCTGTGGGGGGCCAGGCCCAGCAGAAGGCAGCCATCCTTGTGGTATTGGGAACAGTGGTCTCAAGGCTGTTTTGGGCCTCTCTCCAGCCAGCAGTGTGGCTGGCATACTTGAAGGTGGCCATTCCTATAACCACAGAGTTCCTGCTACCAGACCCAAGGGGAAAAGGCAGTGGCCTTTGTGCAGTATTGACCAGACCCTGAGAAGTCAGAGTTGTCTAGCAGGGACAGGCAGGTCAGGACATCCTCAGAAAATGTGTGATTCAAGGAGCAACAATGTGTTTAGTGCCCTTCAGGGAACCCAGATCCCCAGCCAGGCCCTGCCAGCATTCTCTAGCTACATTCTCTGTGCCCAAACTTAAGAAAAAAATTAATTTTATTATTTTTAAATAAGTGTGTGTGCGTGTGTGCACATGAGTGCAGGTTCCTGCAGAGGCCAGGGTTGTCAGGTTCCCCTGAGCAGCTGTGAGCTGCCCAATATTTGTCCTGAGAACTGAATTTGGCTCCTCTGTAAGAACAGGAAGTGCTCTTAGCTGCTGAGCCATCTCTCCTGCCCACTTGGTGGCCAAACTTTGTCTTTGGGAGTGTGCCTATTCTCATCAGTCAGAAAGTCCTCCGTTCCCTCCAAGGAATAAAATGTCTCTAATTCAAAGAGAACATTTAGACAAGTCTGTTCATGCTCATGTTGACAATGCTTCTGAAGAGGACAGGCTCTGTTTCTCACAGCCAAGGGTGTCTTCTTCCAGACAGCGGGGTTGTGGCTTCTAGCTTTGTTGTCTAGGGTGTATGTTCTGGAATTCCAAAAAGTCAGCTTACAGGAAGAAGGGTCGGCTTCGGCTTACACTGAGGTCGCTTGGCTTTCTTGGGCGTGATCAGGGCTCTGGAAGGAGGCTGACAGTGCCACTGCATTCCTGCCTGCACCCCAGGGGCCCTGCTCCTGCTCAGAGGCCATATTTTTAAAATACTTTATTTTTTTCATAATACTGTCATTACAAAAAAATACAAAAAACTACTATAAAAACATTCAGGGGCTTGTCAAAGTGAGAAAACCTAAAGACCCCACCCCAGGAGCAGCTGAAGCAGTCTCCTCCCAGCTCTTCACGGTTTGACTTTTATACAACTGTGGGAGAGGGGTGGGGGTCACACAGGCAGAGAGGGGCTGGAAATCTCTGACACAGCCTCCAAGAAGGTAAGAAATAAGTAGCTTCACATATCACAAAAGTGGGGTTTGGAAGTTTGGGGTGGCCTGGCCCTGAGTTCAGAGATGTGGGGAGAACCTGTGATCCTGAATCTCTTGGTGGGGAGTAGCTGCCACCTGACCCCAAAGCCCTTTCCTTCCTGATGATGGCCGGGAGGTGGGTCCTGCCCCACCTCTTAGCTGTAATGCCTCAGCCTCTCTTTTCCCCACCCGTGAACACTCCTCAGAGCAGCTGGGGGGACAGACCCTCCAACTCTGTGGGGCGTAGGCAGAGCAGCTCTTGGGGAGGCTCCTGAGTGTTGGTTCACCTCCCTGTCCCCAAATGAAAGTGTCTCGTGCTCAATGGATGCCTTGTTCACAGGTAACGGACCTTCCCTTCCTATGTCTGCTCCTCTGTCTCGCAGAGAGACACAGACCACTTTAGGCCAGTGCTCCATGGGCATGAATACTTGTGGGATAGCCTTGGACACTACAGACCTGAGGGAGGGGTGTCCTTTCTGTCCTCTTTCTCCAGAAACAGGAGGAAGCCGGAGGGAAGGGAGAGGAAGGGTGTTAGCAAGGCTGAGGGGAGGAGGACATGCTATTTACAGGCGTGGACAAGGACTCTATCTTCAAGTAGCACTCAAGTCACTCTCCAGCCACTGGAGTGGGAACTGGATTCAAAGCTAGTGACAGAAAGTTGACCCCTGGCCTGGGCTAGCTCTCCCACCTCCCTCCCATTCCCCCAAAGCAGCCCAACTCTGAAAGGGGTTGGGGACAGGAACAGTTTCCTGAAAATCAGTGGCTTTTTTGTTTTCTTTTTTTTGCATTTTAGAAAGGTGCCAGTGTCCGGTGGGCATCCAGCTGGGTCCACATGAGATGGGGTGAGTGTGGGGTATTGCTGTGGCGGGCTCCAGACTGGCCAGGGCGGAGCCTAGGAGCAGGGGAGGTGCTGCTTAAGGATCTGCCGTGTCTGCGGTGGTAATCTGTCAGGGAACCGAACTTTGAACTCAACAATGAGGTCTCCCCGCTGAGTGGGCACCTTGGGGAAGGGGAGGCCCTCCCCGCGGAGTCTCTTCACGGTGCCTGGCTTGATAACATCGTTGCAGGGCAGAGGGATCACTCGGCCATCAATGGTGGGAATGTTCACGGTGCAGCCACACAGCGCCTGGGGAAGATAAGGCAGAGTGAGGAAAAGGGAGGCAGAGAGAGTGGAGAGAAAGGAAAAAGATGTACACGGGGGTGGGGTGGAGATGTGTGTCAGAAAGGAAAGGAAAGAGATGCTTCCTATAGACACACACACACACACACACACACACACACACACACACACACACACACACACACACACACGTCCCACCTCCTTGAGGCTGATGAGCGCACTGTAGAGCACATTGGTGCCATCTCGGCGGAAGTGTGCATGAGGCTTATCTTTGAGCACGAAGACAATGTCGGCTGGGATGTTGTCAGGTGTGGCATCGCCCTCTTTGGGGAAGGTGATCTTGGTACCTTCCTTCCAGCCGCGCTTGATGACGATATGCAGGATTTTGTCCTCGGTGCGCACAGTTCGCCCATCAGGGTTGAGGCGCCGTCTTGTAATCTTCATGCGCTTAGTGGAGCCATGGTAGATCTCCTCCAGGGATACCCGAAGCTCATGTACCACAGGGGGGTCTTGCACCTTGCGCCGGGGGTACAGTGGTTCTGGGGCTCGCCTTGGACCCCTGCTCAACCCATTGAAGCCAAAGCGGCCAAAGGCACCAAATGGGTCCTCATCTTCATCCACATCCATGTCATCTGGGTCAAAGCCACTGAAGGGCCGAGTGGAGCGGCTGCTGGCAAAGAAGATATCGAAGGGGTTGGAGCCACCAAAGAAGGAAGCAAAGGTGGCATGAGGGTCCCCATGAAAGGTGTAGTGAAAGGAGCCACTGGAGCCACCTGAAGTACCACCGCCGGTCTTGAGGCCTAAAGGGGAGGAGAAGTTAGGGGCAGTGTGGTCCATCCTGGCCCCATCCCAGTCTCTTTCCTCTACCGCTAAGCTGCCAGTTCCCGGGCCTAGATAAAGAAGCAACCTTTAACTCCCACAGAGAGGGCTAGACTAACAGAGTGAGAAAAGCTTTGGACAGACTGATATCCACTCAATTAACTCCATACTTAGGAATACGTATCTGGGCATGGTGGTGCACGCCTGTAATCTCAGTACTCAAAAAATTGGGCAGGGGGACAGAGTTTCAGGCTAGTCTGGACTGTGTAGTGAGACCTTGTCTCAAAAAACAAACCCAAACAATCTGCACCTTGAGATTCCCTCGAGCTAGTTAGCCAATAAGTGGAAAAGCGAGGACTAGGGGCCTTAGGAGATGGCTTCTCTTATGTAACCATCCCACTTCCTCAGTCCAAACATGCCTCATGAAGGCTTGGGCAGCTGGCCTCGTATCACATGACAGGCTATACCTGACTCCCAAATCTCTGTTGACTTCCCAAGATACCCAGGGCTAGAGACAAACAGACAGGGTGTGACCAGAGGGGCTAGTATGAAGTGTGGACACAGTCTAGGAGGAACCTTGCTTTGATTCTGCTCCAACAGGAAATCAAGAGGTCTCAAAAAACAAGGAAGCCCATTGACATGGAAACGAGGAACTATTTTTCTATTAAAAAGTTCAATTACTTGATTTCCATCTCTGAGCCCGTGTTGCGCAGCTTCAGGGACTGCCATTCACGTATTGTACAGACAGAGGCTGCACGGGACCAGCTTCCCCAGGGTTACATCACACCAGCCCTGCATCCCACATTTAATGTGGAGCAACCACCATACATCAATGGGCTGGGGCCATGCAAGGTCCCAGATGCTCCAGAGAGTGACCCCAGATGCTCTCTCTGGAGCTGGGTCTTGTCTATGGGACTCAGATTGCTGGATGGTACTTTCAGGGTTGGTCTGTGATGGAATAGTGGGAAGTATGGCAGAGGGGATTAACACAGACTGATCCAAAATATATCGATTCAGGGATGGGGCCCAGGTGAGGGGAAGGGCCCCTCTCATTGAGACTTATTTCTGGGGAGGGAACCCAGGGCTTTGTGCACTTTAGGCAAGTGCCCTAGCACTAGGCTGGGTTCTTAGCCCTCTCGGAGGCCTTTGGTCTAAAATTTCATTTGGTCTTGGGAATCTGGGCCTAAATTACCCTCTTATTTCATGGGACTACAAGGACGGGTTTGGGTTTCATTAGCGAGGGCAAGTAAATAGCAGGCATTTGGGGGCTTGTGGCAGCTGCCTCTTAACCCCTCCCCCAAGACTTGGGTCTGTTCTTTCTTCCTGTTGAAGCAAGTTTGCAAAGCTAGGCAGAGCTCCTGAGAGAGCAGGAGGCTGGACTCATGACAAGAGGGGAATTCTCCCCGCAGGGATTCCTGCTCTACCACCCCACCTCACTTCAAGCAGAGAACAACTTGTCCCAAGCCAGAGCTGCACACGGACTCTGTGCACAATTGTTCTGGCTGGCTGTTGAGGAAGAGGGAGGGCAGACAGAAATAGAACTGACTTTCCAAGGCTGTTTCTCCTTCCTCCAACCCAGAGGTCTTCCCTGGGCCACAGTGCCCATGATCTATACCAGAACCCAGGGGCTTCTAGGGCCGGGGTCTGGGTGTTGCCTTCACTTGGGCTTGGTCGTGTATGAGGTGGGGGAGGAAGTTTCTGGGTAGCTTCTGCAGCCCCTTTCCTAAAAGGTTAGGCTGAGTGCAGGATTGGATGCAGTTCTGAGACCGGCCACATGGAGGCATGGTGCCTGCACGGCCTGCCTTCTTTCCCTGCTCCCATCCTCCTTCCTGAGCTGGGAGAAGGCTGGGGATTGGAGCAGGTGCCGGGGCTCTCTGAGAACTGGCAAGTCTAGGAATGATCAGGGAAAAATGGAATGAGCTCACAGCCTAGAGACTAAAAAGAGGGAGCTGGGAAGATGGGGCACGGGGAGGAGAGCGGCAGAGGTGAAGAGAACACAAAATGAAGAGGGGACGGGAGGAACGTGCTCTTCAGCCCCTGCTTTTAATCAGGCATACTACATGCCATTAGCCCGGTTCATTCTGAGCACACTCTGGGGAAGGTGAAGAGGAGGACAGTGTGAAGAACGGTGGATGTCGCTAGGAGGAAGGGCAGGTCTTCCCAGGAGGGAGAGTCCTCAGCTGTGACAATGTCTCTTAATATAGCCTGACAGGTGCCTGTGGCTGGCGGGTGGCAGGCGGGCCCCGAGGGGCAGGCCCAGAATTAGCAGCTACATCATGCCCGTGGGATGTGCTGGGCGGAGCCACGCTCTCGGAGGCTTTATTTGGGCCTTTCCTGCTGCCCACCCTGTGCGTGTCCACCAACTGCCCCAGGGAAGGGTAAGATGCCCGCAACATCTCCCCCGCCACTCCTGGATCCCTGCCACTTCCTCTGGGAGGCAAATCTCTGTTCTGTTGGCCTGAAGTGGCCAGGGACTGGGGGATGGTGGCAACAAGCATTTCCACTGAGAACTCTAGTGGTTAATTCCCTGGCTGTTCAAGGGCCAGACTTTTATGCTGATGAATGTAAATGCCGTGCTCAGAGAGTCACAGGCTCTCTCTCCCCAACCTTTCAGACAGCCAATGAAGCTGCAGGGACTTCAGGCAGGACTAATAAGGCTGGGAAGGAAGGAAGGGGGGGGGGGCTCTGGCTCAGACTCCAGCCTCTCTAGGGCCAGAAAGGGCCAAGGGAGGGGAAGAGAGATGGGGAAGACAGTGAGCTGTGACCAGGTAGTGAACGATTGGGCTGCTCTAAAGAAATTTGCCTCCTCCAACCCCACCGTGAGAACTGGCTTGCCCAGGGCTCCAGAGAAACTCGGGGGTCCAGGTTTGGGCCGCTGTACACCTTCTTACCTTCCTCCCCATACTGGTCATACAGGCTCCGTTTCTTAGGGTCACTCAGCACGTCATAGGCCTCAGCAATCTCCTTAAACTTCTCCTCAGCGTTGGGTTCCTTGTTCTTGTCTGGGTGGTATTTCAAGGCCATCTTCCGATAGGCTTTTTTGATCTCATCCTCATTGGCCCCTGACGGGATCCCGAGAATCTTGTAATAATCCTTCCCCATCACAGCCACTGGACCGGTGCTAGGCTCCTTGTTTCTGAAAGAACCCAGGTCCAATCTTTGGTGCCCTGATCTCTACAGCCCAGCCCCACTCCTGATGATCCTGCAATCCTTAAATGACTCCCTGTATGACCTTCAATAGGTCATGCCTATTCTCTGGGCCTCTGTCTCCCCATCTGTAAAGTGAAAGTTTTGGCTAGATGCTGTCTTCCAGTTCTGACATGCTAGGATTCCGTGATTCCTTTCTCAGCTTCTGGCTGAAGATTGTGGCCCACTTCTCAGGTCTAGGCTGAGGCCCAGGCCCTTGGGCCAGCCTGAGGACCCCTGAGAGGCCCTTCGGAGTGAGATGGCACTGTGGACTGACAGACTCACACACAGAAGCTGGCGAAGGTCAGTGTACTGAGTGAGGTCACCTGAGCTTCGTAGTCTCTCCTACGCCACACCTCAGGCATGGTGCCCGGACTGAGGACAGCTGGGGCAGTAGCCCAGGACCGGGAACAGGCTCTAGTCTTCAGCCAGCTGAATCAGGCTATGGGAGTTTGGAGTCTAGATCCCTCTGCCCTCGCCCCCCCCAGGCTATGCTAAGCTTCACGTGTGACTCAGATCACAGAGTGACTCACAGCCTTTGGAAACTGCTGTTCCTAACACCTTCATTAGCAAGGGGGGACACTGTCTATCCCCCAACCAGGGGAACAGTTGCCTCTACTCGTTTCCAAGGATCTACACACTGAAGTGTGAATACATGTCTATGTGCCCAGGCACCAAGGGTAGTGAACAAAGGCACCAGAGATGAGGCTTTCTCAAAGCCTAGGGGTCAGGAGGCAAATAGACACTAACCACTGTGTCCTAAATACCTTCGCTGCAAGCCCCTCTCTGTCTGCCCTATAGTTTAGGATCTGACTCCGCACTAGGCTTACACTCCTCTGATGACCCCTTCTAAGTGGGGTTCAAGGACATCACCACGGGGCTCTGATCCTTCCACTCTAACCTGCTCTCATCAATGGATATGTGGATGATGTGAAGGGAGGGGACTCGAGGGAGTGGCCGGATGCTGTTCTTTAGCCTTTTGGAGGTTTAGCCAACCCTTGTCAAAAGAGGGAGAACCAGAGTCTTTCTAGCAATGTCCTGGCAGCCACAGCTGAGGCTTGCTTTTCTGCCCCTGACTACTTCACAGTAGTGAGATGTACAGGGTGTCCTGGCAGGGCTGTGACAGTTAGGGGGGAGCCTCTGGCGCCCCAGGTAGGCAGGGAGAATGACCTTAGCTCCTGTCCCTACAGGGCTTGCTGCAGGTGGCTGGCTTGACTCATGGTTCTGGGAGTCACCTCACTCTGACAAAGAGAAGGCACCATAAAGGCGGGTACTCCCCCATTTCCCCACACCAGCATGTCACGCCTGTGGGGGAGACTGGAGTTGGGGGAGGCAGAGAAGAAAGAGCATCTGGGGGAGAGCAGCCATTTTCGGAAGCGGCATTAAGAGCAGTCTGAGAGGGAGACGGGGTGGTCTGCCATCTTTGTCTCAGCCCACACTTTCTTTACCCCAGCATTGAAAGAAGCCTAGGACAGCAACAGGGGGCCGGAGAACCCCAGCAGCTTCTAGGCAGAGGGCGAGCGGCATAGCTTACTGGCCCACCCACCTTTTTGTGGTCCCCCCATTACCTCTCCACCACCGCCAGCTTCCTCTCTGGCACCTGCCTGCTAGCTGTTCTCCACCCATAATTCTCTGGCCTCCACAGACCGGGGCCACCTCTGAGGACCTGCCTACTTCCCCACCTTTCCACCCCTCCCGTCTCCCTCCCCCCCAGCCACGTGGCGGAATGACAAAGGGGCCCCATGGCATGGCTCTGCCTTTGATGAAGAATGAGGACTATGTTAAGGGAGGGCTAGGGATGACAAAAATGAGGACAAATAGCAAAAGGGACTGGGAGGAGAGAGGGCCCTGACCGGAGATGAGAGATGGCAGGAGGAGATGGTTGAAGTGGAAGACAGGTGACTGACGAGAGGGAGAGCTGAGAACTGAGACATTGGAGATGTGTGTGGCAACAGAGTTTGAGGGAGATGGATGACACCGGTACAATTCATTCAGACGTGCAGGTGAGGTCAAAGGATGCCACAGGACGAGATGAGGATGCCAGGGAGGGAGGGAGGAGGAGGAGGCAGTGCAGGGATGGCTGATGTGGAGAACTGGACTCCGCGTGGGTATGAGTGCCCTTCTCAGGAGGGACTTACCGAAACTTTACAAACCCATTCAGCGTCCACGCTCGAAGTTTTAAGGGCTCCAGCTGAATTTTAAACATCAAGCTGGCTAAGAAGTCTTCTCCCCAGAAGTGTGGGAAGCTCCGGAAAGCTCCTCGGGCCTGCAGTGGGGGTGCTGCTGGGGGTGGGCAGGAGAGCACTGTGCGCTTAAACATGCCCAGCCCAGCCCCTCACCTCTGATCGCTCCACCGGAGCCTGCTCGGGACGCCGTAGCTCTGGCAGCCACCTCCTCAGAGTCTCAGAGGCGCTTGCCCAGCAAGGCCTGTGTCGTGCCGCAGGAGCCGGACCTGATCCCCGGGTGCGGAGCGGAGGGAGAGGGTCCAGCGGCCACCTGCCCTCGGGTACAGCAGTGTCTGTCTGGCTGAATGTGAGTGGCTGTATGGCTGGGTGACAGTGAGGCTGGAAGTGGCAGTGGGTGCTTGCTGAGTGGCAGCGTGTGTACCTGTGACAGGTGTGACAGCCAGGGCCCCCGAGAGGCAGTGAGCTCCTCTCGCCTCTCCGGGGAGGACCCAAGCCCAATCCCCGCGAAGCTACTCAATGAAGTCACTGACGGGGAGTCTCCTCCCCCGCAGATGGGCGGGGAGGGGCGGGGCAGAGCCGAGCCTGGCCCGGACAAAAGGCGCGGCGGGGAGAGGAAGGAAGGGGGTTCGCGCGGGGGAGGGGGTCGGTGATGTCACCTCAGCTGGCTGCCTGGCCTGCTCAGAAACGCCTCCGCCCGGCGCAACCCAATCCGACCCGACCCAACCCGACCCTCGCCGCAGACACCCCGCACCTGGCCGACCCCGAGCTTCCAGGACCCGCGCCCCTCTAGCAGAGGAGGCTATGGACCCTCGGTGTCCCAACCCCCCGCCCCCCGGACCTGTCTTCTCGACGCCCCACCCCCGGGACCCCCGAGTCCTCGCTCAGCGCCCTCACCGGTGAGGAGCTGCGGGCGTCGCCGCGGTCCTTCTGTCAGCCGCTGCCCCCTCCCCCGGCTCCGGCTCGGCTCCGCCGCCTCCACTCGGGACAGGAGTCGCCTGCCCGCCGGCCGCAGACAGCGGGACCGGGAGCCCGCCCCCACGGCTCCGCCTCCGCGCTTCCCATTGTACCGTCTGCCCGTCACTCAGCCCAGACTCGGCTGTGATTGGACACCTTTCAACGAGCGTCCGGGTGATAGCCACCCCTTCTCCGCCCCTGTCACCCGGCCACACGCGCACACATTCCGGGCAGTGATTGGTGTGGGTGTGATTGGTGCCCTCCGGGATCAATCAACCACACCTCTTCTCCATCTCGTCGTGTCATTGGTGAAAAGGACAGAGGGCGGCAACTCCAGGCGCCCTTTGATTTTATTGGCTTGTCCCTGTGACTTCGACCCAAGCCAGTGGGGCAACTATATTAGTCCAATCTCCAGTGTGAGGTGAGACGCGCTGGCCACCGCTTGAGTCCAGGGAGAACCTTCTGGAATGAGTGCAACCTCAAAGACAACCTAGCAGGAAAACTGCGCTCACCAGTTGGCGGTGACACCAGGCATTCTTTCCTTTCTTCATCTAGGAGAGTCGAAAGAGAGAGAGAATAGTGCACTGGGGGAGGTGTAGCCTCTGGACCAGTGCCAAAATGTCATCTCTTCTTACCTGTCTTTTAACAAATTGTGAGCCAACCCGGCTTGGCCTGGTTTAGCTTTACCTTGTCTAGACCCGGGGTTGACCTGACATGGCTTAACTGTAACATAAAACAGACCAGCATAGACTCGAGAGTCTGAGTGCCCTTGCGACCTCCTCTCTGCACTAGTAACTGGTAACTCCAGGGGGCATATCTTCATGATTCTCTGTCCGGCTCCTTTCCATCTCCCCTTTCACGCTGGCATCTGGCTCCCTAAGGAGCAGCCGCTTCTCAGCCCCTGGGAGTCCACAGTGCCCAGTTCAGAGCCCTTATAACCAACCTTTCATCTTTGTCTTTAAGTCCTTTTTCATACCCCCTGTGATATCTGACCTTCCCTCACCCCAATATTCTGTCTTGCTCTGTATCTTTCTTACTTTTTTCTCCTTTTGTCTTACTCTTAATTCATCTCCCTATTTCTGTGGTCTGCAATATCATAGCACATAGCTCCCCCTTTAACCCTTTACCTCAGCTTCTCATGGTCCTCTTTCTTAACAACCTCATACATTGTCACCTCTGCCCCCCCAAACCCCAGTAAATCATTAAATCTCAGCCCCAGTGTCCCCGATACTCAGAGCAGGCGGGGCTGCGGAGGCGGTCGCCAGCGGAAGCCGCCGCTCCAGCAGACACTGAGCTTGGCGCCCACGTTACTGTCTCCCAGGCCCATCTGTGCTGGAGGGAGCGGGGGTGGGAGGGGGTAATCTGGGGGTGAAGAGGGGGAGGGGGTTCTTGGGAGATTTGGTGACAAAGAAAAGGCCTGAGAAAATGCTCTCGCCTCTCATTCTTTGTCAGTTTCAAGAGACAGATTTAGACACCTACGGGGCCATGCAAGCTGGGTAGAACTGTAAACTGAGGCTTGGAGTACCTAGGCCCAGATAAGAGCAGGAGAGGGGTCTGGGGATTTGGAGGCAAGGTCTACATATTCTGAACTACCTGCCTCTGCCCAGGGTTCCACATGGGACTCTCGGAGTGTAAAGGAATTTGAGTTGAGCATGAGGAAAGAAGTTAGGGTGGGAAGAGGAAGTGGGGTGGAGGAGAGCAGAAGGGAGATGGCGTGATCAGTGCGGGGAGCTCACAGGTATCTGGCTGAAGGAGGTGGGCTGGGAACTGGAAAGGGGCCAGAAGACAGGGTGGGAGGCAAAGAGGAAATGAGGGGGTGAGATGGGCCGGGGCGGGGATTGTAGGAGCGCTGAAACGGGACCGAGAGACCAGAGGAGGAACAGATGAGACAGTGATGAGGGAGTGGGGCAGTGTGGCATGGAGCTGGGTATCGTGGGAAGAGGGGGGCCGGAAGTAGTACTGGCTTCTGCGATTTGGGGTCTCTCACTATCCTTCCTCCTGTCTTGAGGGGCCCCTGTCTTGAGGGTCAGCGCCTATGTTACTTTCTAAGTCTGCCTCTTGCGTTCCCAGCCTTGCCCGCGCCAGCACAGAGGTCGAGTTTAGTCACAAGCCTTTACCTGGCTCTGCTAAGCTGTGGGCGTGGCCTTCAGGGACTCTAGCTTTGTGTCCTTAGAAGTGGGGCCCAAACCCCGTTGTTTGCCTGGATCACTACTGTTGTCTTCTGTCCTACTGTCCCGGGCCTCTGAACCCGAGTACACAGTGCAGCACAGACCGCAAGAAGGTGAGTGCTGGAGTCCGTCAGCGGGGTGGCCTTGTGAGGCCACTTGTCACCTCTGGGCCTCATTTGTCCTCGGCAAATGGACCAAGCAACAGTGGAAGCTCACAGGGCTCTTTTGAGGGTCAGTTAAGGTGACACATGTGATGGTCTTCGTTCTGAGCTTGCTTGGCATGCGATTAATGTTCAGTCCAATCAACACTTACTGTATGCTCAGGGCTATCTGGGTGTGTGAGTGCATCCCCAATGCGTGTGTCTGATTGGGAGTTATTTGCCATGGTAGTCATGATTCCGTTTGTAAGGGTGTGCCAGCACAATTATCTTTGTGTGTAGTGTGCCTGGTTCTGTACTTGGTATAGGTATGTGGTTTTGTATCAGCACACATGTGTGATTAAATAAACGGCCGTGTAGGCATGTGACTACATGATCAAGAGTGAGGGGAGCATGTGGCTATTGACACCATTTCTGCCAGTGTATGTACGCATCTGTGATCGTGTTGGCTCTAAACACCCCCGCCTGTCCTCCCTCCTCCTGGAGACGTCATAACCCTAGGTGTCCCTCATTTTCTCACCCTGAGGGAACCGGAACCTGTGGGCAAGGGGATGGGGGTGGGTGCCAGTGAGGGGGTGTTTAGGCAGGAGCTCATGTTCCCTCCCAGACTGTGCATGGGAGGGGGAGCCCCTATCTTGCACATCCCAAATCCTCCAGAGGAAGTGCTTCCCCCCTTGGCCTGTTCCTAGTTCCCTGTCTTGTCACCATGGCAGCAGTTGCCAGGGGCTCCCATGGTTGCTAAGATCCGGAGGTGGGAGGATACCAGGCCCTGTTGCTAGTAGAAACAGAATCCTGGAGGCAAGGAAGACTACCCCCACAGCTGCCAGCTTCTGCAGTGACAGCATCGGCTCTTGGGCTGCCCCTTTCCCCAAACTGAACCTATGATTTGTATGTGCAGTGTGATGTGTGAGGAGGCTTTAATACGAAGCTGGGCCTGAGGAGAAAGGAGGAGCTGCAGTCTGCCCCAGCACCACTTTGAAAGCCAGCAACTCCTGAGAAACTAGAGGCTGCCTTATTTAGTTTCTCATCTACCCTACTGGTCCCCTGGGTGGCATTCATGGCCGAGTTCTCCAGTGACTGGCTACTCGTCACGTGATGTTTCACCTAGGCATACTAATGCTGCTTTGAATGCAGACTGACTCCTTCCTATGGTCAGATTCTTAGCATCTCTTTTGATACATGCTTCGTGCTGACATATGAACAAAGGATTGGTCCCACACTGAGTCCCAACTTTGGCATTTGCTTGAGACACTGACTAATCTTTAATCTTGGTTGAAGGAATCCCTAGAGTCCATCCTCAGCCTCAGCTTACTTCCTAGACACACAGTTAAGCCCTAATTTTAACGCTAGACACATGAACTCATTGTAATTTTCACTTGTCTTTTTCACTGACAGAGCACTGACCAGCGATTTAACTCCCTGGTATTTGCGGGTATCTCCTTGAGCTTCTAAGCCGAAAGTGATCAGTACCCTTGGGATTTGAAAGAGTAATTTCTCACTTTAGGATGAGATGGCAGTTCTAGGGATGGCCAGCAGAGGGCGAGTAGCATGAGATTCTCAAGGCAAGCTTCCGTGAGCCTACCAGTGAACTAAGGACATTTTCGTTTTTTTGATACCAACTTTAAAGTTATGTGACTGCTTGAGCTTACATGTCTATCTTCAGATAATCTGGGATAAGGGCTGGGAAGGTACAAGAAGGTGCTTAATGTGGACTGGCCCCTCAGGTGTCAAGAGGATTCAGTACCTTATCAGGTATCGCACTCTGAGACTCAGCATTTTCGTCGCATGCTTTGATGGCTTCACTGCCCTCCCTGGTGTTCAGTCATCCCTTGGTTCTGTTGAGAAGAACTGTATTTTCTCAACGTTCACCTCTCATCTAGCTCTGTCCTTGAGTCGCCTCCAGCTTTATAGGTCCCTTTGCCAAGTATTAGCCGTCTGCACTGCCCATGTTCACCCTCTCCAGGATTCAGGCCTTCCCGGGCTTTTCATCTGCCTTGTTTTATTCCAGCCATTCAAGGCTTTCAGTCCATGCTTGTTCCAGGAGTGCTGGACATGAACAAGGCTTGAACAAGATGGCTTGCCTCCCCTCCCTGACTAGACTTCTTCCCATGCAGCCTTAGGTTGCATTGATTTTTTTTTTTTTCTTTTTTTGGTAGTTAAGTCATGTAGATCACGCATACCAAGTTAAAACCATAAGCTCTTTTTTGCCCCTGAGCTGCTGATTCATCTCTGGTCTATTATGATTTTGGAAAAGAAAACTTGAAATAAGTTAAATAAAAACATTTTGATGATACTTTCTGAATTTGAGGGCAATCTTTGAACCTGGAAATCTCTGCATTTGATGTTCACTTAAAGTGAGAACAAAGGACGGACAGTCTCCAGCGGGCTGTGACTTCAGCACTGTGGACAGAGACCACTGGCGGTACCTGCGGTTGTGCCTGGGACTGCAGGGGGGTGGAAGGAGACATGGGCCTCAGAGGGAACACGGGGCCTCAGAGGGAACACGGGGCCTCAGAGGGAATGCGGGCCTCAGAGGGAACCAGCATCCAGCTGCTCGCTCAGCGCCTCCCCTCACCAACCTCATTCTGCTTTTTCTATCAGCTCAGAAGGCAGATGGGACAGGGACTGTTCTTTAGCTTTTTTGCAGACGGGAAATAGGTTCGCCATGTCAGACCCAAGGAACCCCTGGAAACAGTGAGTTAGGGAGAACACTGGATTTAACTTGATGTCTAGAGAATTGAGTAGCACTGTTTCTCTTTGGGAAATGTCCTACTGGGGAGACAGAGGGAACGTACAGAGCAGGAGAGGTGGAAGTTTGTGGGAGGTGGGGTTCCAGCAAGCCCTGGGAGCAAGTGGCAGCTGGTGAGTCATGGTTCTAGGAGGGATGAAACCTCCAGCTAGGACTGCTGAATGGAGGGAAGGGAAACTTGGTTGCTCACAGAGATACACAATTTTAATATTTAAAAATCGCTTATTTTGTGTGTGCATGCATGCCTTGACATGTGGAGGCCAGAGGGCAGCTTCCTGGGGTTGGTTCTCTCCATTGGCAGTGGGGTTTGAACTCAGGTCCTCAGGCTGGTCAGCAGTGCCTTCATTCTCTGAAGCAATCTCACCAGCCAAAGATCTAGTTTTTATGCCTTTTGCTACCCTGGTGCTCAGCTTCCCTGAGTCTGGAGATTAGAAGGAGCTCCTGTGATGTCATCAAACTTCCAGAGTGGGGCGGACACTCCGTGCCCTATGGGAACACCCTGGAGGGGGAGGTATGGCAGCAGGATGAGTGGACCAGTTGTGCAGGTGGTGAAACTTCTGTCATGTGGCTACAAGCCCGGTTCCCTGTTCCGGTCTGTTCTGAGGAGTGGAGACGGGAGGTGCTAGATTACACTGCAATAGGTCCCTTGAAGTGCTTTGACAGGCAACGTGCACACACGCACACACACACGCACACACGCACGCACATTGCTAAGAATATGGCCACTGAAGGAAGGCTACCGTGTCCTGATTTATACTCAGGCCAGGAATTGGCCAGTGATGGGAAATGACAGAGAAATGGGAGGATCCCAAACAACAGGAAGCAAGCAGCAGAAGCATCATCACAATCTCTTTATTATGGTTTCTGCAGTGCCCAGCCTGTGGGAGCTCCTGCCTGGAGAACTGTGAAGGCTGAGTCGCAGCAAGGAGCATGCAGCTGTAGACAGGAAGACAGGGCTTGGGGTTGGTCCCTTCTGGTTACTGTCAAGGTACCTTCAGCAGAAAAGCACACGAGGAACCAGAGGGCCTTGGATCCTCAGTTACTTAAGGGCTCTCCGAGCCTCCCTCCCAGCCTGTTTGGCTGGAAACAGACCACGATATCCCTCAAGGGTTGAAGGCTAAATTTGAAGGCCTTTGCTGATTATAGATATGGAGAGGACTGGAATTAGGCTTCTTAATCATTGGTCTAGGTTAAGACCTGACCCTCTTCTCCACACTCTGGGCTATTGGGGCATGCAGACCAAAGGGGAACAGCTTTTCTTTAGTGTTGGGCTAGTGGGAATTCTGTAACCTATCGTTTTCCTTTCAAGGTTGCCAAAAATAGTGGCAAAAAGCAAGCAACACCAGGAGGAATGCTCGGCTCCACCATATTCCAGGGCTGAGCTGTGGGAACAGGCCATGCACTGATCATGCCCACTTAGGATCTCCATTGTCTGGGCTGTAGCCAGGACCAAGGGAGATACAGTGAGCAAATTAAACCCAAGTGGCCAGGAGAAGGTGGTGGTTTGACTCCACTGGAAATGGCAGGTTAAGGGGGGCATGGTTACAGGTGCTGCTAGGGTGTTCTGCAATTCTGGCATCGAGGTTGTTTGGCCTTTCAGTGCCGAGTACAGAATGGTCATGTGCCACAGTGACATTTCAACCAACAACAGATGGCATGTACAATGGTGGTCCCATACGTTATATTGCCTAGTGATGTGGTAGCTGTCTTGGCTTGTGTAAGAGCACTCTTTGATGCTTGCACTAAGAAACTGCCCTAATGACACAGTCCTCAGAACGGAATCGGGCTTCTTAAGCATTGGTCCAGATGAGAACCGACCTTCTTCTCCATTCCCTGGGCCATGAATAACCCTATACACTCATGTTCTCCCTATGCACAGATGCAGTACATGACTGCATCTGTCTTTATTCTGCTGGTTAGAAGGAGACGTGGACTACCAATACCAGAGCCTGTTGCCAGTTCAAGTTTTGTGCCTCAAGGTTGCTTCCTTTTGGCTCTTGGGTAGTCATGGCTGGATGGCCCCTACTAGACAGTTTCTGTGGAGCCTTTCTCGTAGCCTGAGTGCTTTCCACATTGCTGGGAACTGTGATGCATGCAGTAAGTGTTGTGCTTTGGGCTAAGGCATGGGGCAGCCTTGGTATTCACTTCCCTGTCAAGCGCCCTCTTTCCAGGCAGTTGAATTCTGTGCTTTCTGTTTTGGTGATAGAAATGGGGGGAACTCCAAGACTTGGCCACTTAAACAAGGTCCAGGTGACCTCCCGAAGGGAGCACTATGGCCAGAAAGGCAAGTGTCTACCCTGCCAGCCCACTGCTTGGGCTGGGGGTAGAAAGAGGCAATGTATTCATGGCTTCTGCTGCAGCTGTCCTCAAAGGAAGAGCACTTGAGCGGGGTCAGTACCTGGGAATGAGGAAACCGCTCCATCCCTGGGATACCATAGGGCCACTGTCCAAATGGTCTTCGGGGGAAGGGTGGCCTCAGGTGAGGAGGCCAAGGAACAGCCCTGGAGAGGTTGTGCAGAACTAAGCCACCCTCAGGAACTCTGACCCTGCAGTCTGCTGTGTGGTCGGATGCCCCTTCACTTAGTTCTGAATATGAGGAGGAGAACTGCTGGAGGACAACCAAGCTTGGGCAGGCGGTCTTCAGAGGAGCATATGTGTAACCCAAGCCTCCCCTGGTTGGAGCCCAGGATGGGTGGTGTTTGGGAAAAGCATTGATCTTAATTGTTGGCAGCCAAGACAGAAAAGACAGAAACATTTTCTCATACCCTCATCAGAGCCAGACATTAATTTTTGCACTTGGCAGAATTTCAGACAGTCACAGTGATAGAAAGGCTTGAAAAGGGATGAGTCTTGCTAGGTGATGAGAGTGTACCTCTGTACATACTGCAGGGGCTCCAGGGAGGCCATTCAAAGAGGGACTATGGACAGTGGGGTCGGGGAGGGCTTCTGTAACAACTGTCTAGGGAGCCATGGACCCTCCCTTTGGTACAACACTGCATGCTTATGGGGAAGAGGCCGGCGGTCCTGTGTCTTTCTGCTTCTCAGCATTGTTGTGGATTGGGACCTCCATTCTTTGCTGGGGGAGAGTCCCTTGGGCCTTCTGCATCAGGCCCCCGCCACGGGAAACCACTGTCCTGGATAGGGAGGTGGTCTCAAATAGGCCTGGTTCTACTGTGGATGAGCTGTGGGGCTGGCTCGGAAAGTCTTGGGACCCAACCAGTCTGATGTGGCCTGTGGTCTTCTGCCATTCAACTGCAGGAGCAAGAAACTCAAAACAAATGAACAACAACTCCCCTGTAGCTTCAAAGTGGCAAGGATCATCTTGATCTGTGAAGGACCATGGAGCAAGATGGACTCCCAGTACCCACGGCTGGGGAGTGGCAGGAAAGTGCTGTTCAATTCCCAAAGCCCAGAGATTATCTCTGTTCAAAACAGCTTGTGAGGTGCAGCAGTTCACAGTCACAGGGGTAGATGGTGACTCACCGGGAGAGTGAGCGAGAGACCTCGTATTTAATATGCTTTAATCTTCTCAATGGAAAACCCCAGGCCTGGCTGCTACAGACACAGTCCTTGAGCCTAGGAGCTTTGTGCTTTTTTTTTCTTTTTGATTAGATCAAATAATGGGCCCTCTTACTGATCCGTCTTGGGAATGTGGCTGAGTAGTTTTCATTGTTGTTTTTGAGACCAAGTCTCACTTGTGTAGCTTACTATTTAGAACAAACCGGCCTTCAACTCACAGCGATCCACCTGCCTCTGTCCCCTGAGTGCTGGGATGAAGGGTGTGTACTACCATGCCCAGCCGCAAGTGGTAGTTTTTAAAAGCTGTGGGTTTCAAAATGAACTCACATGTATCTCCTATCTGTATCCTCTCAGTCCTAGATAACCTGTCTGCAGGAGTTCACCACCCTGCTTCTAGGTCAGGCACTTCCTCCAGAAAGAGGCCGCCCAGGGCTCTAGGCAAGGCCCTGGCTGCAGATCCCACTTCATCTGAGCATCTTAACACTGAGCGACATGCCTCTTCTTCTTCTGTAATCACTCACTTCAGTACAAGTGCTTTGAGCAGTGGGGATAATGCAAGCTTCTGCATGACTTGGCTCAACTGTCTCTTGAAGAAGCCCTCGTTGTCAGGACTGGCCGTACCTAAGTCATCCCGTTGAAAATAGAAATCCAGAACCTGGACCCCTAGGTCTAAGGGCTGACCCACACCATGATTTCAGAGCTTCAGAACTGTTAGGTAATGGGGTTTGGCAAAGCTTGCGGGCCACGTTTGGTGCATTCATGGCTCTCTGCTTGTCCACAAAGCCTCTCAGGCTGGCTCCAGCTCCTAGCAAGGAGGGGACGACATGAACAAGCAGAAGCAGCCGCTGAGGCTACATCCCCGTTTTGGAGAGAACGACAAGCTTTTCCCCTTAGGACACTGACTAGAACTTGACAGTTGAGATACAGATCTTCTGAGTCTTGGCTGCGTCTCCTTTTCTGTCTCAGCGAGACTGCTGAGGGCTTCTGAGGATCTCCTTCAGGCTATGCACGAGGCTGGCTTGCCCTCCGTATAAAGCCACGTTTCTATGGCTGTGGTGGAGTCGGGCTGGGAAGCAGGAAAAGCCTGCTTTTCTCTTCTCTCCCATGAGATTGTGCCCTCATCGGCCTCCGTAGCGGCCAGGTTGAAGCATCTCCCACAGAGGGTCGTCATTCCTGCCAGTGTATCCATTCCACTCGGGTCCCCAGAGCTTTGGACCACGCGATACCACTCAACAAACAGGGGCCACGAGTCTCACCTTGACTTTCCTGGTCTGCTAAGGGCTTGTGAACTTGGAGGACCTGGTTGAAAGAGAATTCTGGGTCTCTGGGAGAGGCTGTCTCCACTGTTTTTCCCAGTCAGAAATCCACAAGCTAGTTTCCTTTTCTGTCACGAGGAATTAGAATTTAAACACAAACTTCAGGGATGATTTTTAACGGTTCTCCCACCACGACACACCTGAGGGTCACACAGACACTTATGAGCAGCAGTGACTCATCACAGAGGGGGTTTCAATGTGGGCAGGGGGCCTCTCGGCATCTCCTGGAGGGGAAGCGAGGCTGATCTGCCCCTTGCTTTCTACTGGAAATCAGAACTGGCCAATAGAAAGAGTGAGAAGAGACCATCTCATCTACACCAGGGGTTTCACAAAGGGATTTTGGTCCTTCTTCCATCGAAAAAAGAACCAGGAGTCTGAAGGCATGGGTATCTAGGCATGTATGTGGCTGTATGTGCATGTGCACATATGTATGCATGAGGTGGCAGGTAGTTTTACGATGTGAGGGCAGGAGGCGGTCCAGGAGCGGGTGACGGACGCCACAGCTCTCAGGGCTTCTCGGTGTGGCAAGACACACACTGCCTCTGCTGTGAGGGGAACGGTGGCTTCGGTGCCGTAAAACTTAATGACAAATTAAGATGTTGGCAGTGCCCCATTCCTGTGAGCCTCAGCGCCAGAGGTGAGTTGAAGGAAAGAGGAAGGAGAGGAGGAGAGGATGCCACCGTCCCAGAACTGAGCTGCTCCGCCCCACACTATCCTGGGGGTTTCAGGTGAATCGCTCCACTGTTGGGACGGGCAGCCAAGATGTAGATGACGTTCTCTCTTAGGAAGGTGGGCCAGTCCACAGATCTGCAGAGGGAGAGAACAGGTTTGCCAGGCTGGGTACCGGGCCTGAAGGACCCATATACGCCACCCAATCCCGGTGGCAGGCTGCCCTGGGCTGGATGAACCTCAGGGAAGCTTGCCTCGTGACTAACAAGGTTAGGGTGGGCTAGGGGACAAAGCTAACGGATCAGCCGTCTGGCCCTAGAGACCTGGGGTCAGATGTGTTCTCTGGGGCCCGGTTTGCAGGATGGGCGCTGGCTCTTCCGGGGTGCATGTGGCAATGCCTTCTTTTATTTATAAGGGGTGTGGTGGCGGTGGGGGCTCTCCGCGGCGGAGAGGAGGGTCGGCTCACCTGGACTCCTGCTCGTCAGGCAGCGGGGTCTTGTATTCACTCTTGCTACTGCTGCCGGCGGGGCTGCTGTCTGCTATGGGACCCACATGGCTGACGCTGCCGGACGCAGGAACACACGGTTAGGAACGGGGCAACGGAAGGCTCTGCCCTTCCCTCCCGAACTCGGGTGAACCCATGGACCTAGACACGCCTGTCCGGCTTTCCGGCACCGGGGCAGCACACGGTTTAGGACAGAGGCTGCCTCATCACAGGCTGCCTGCCGGCAGGACCGCTGTCCTCTACCTAGTTGGCAGGGGGATCCCCTGCCCACAGGAGGAGAAGGAAGGGCATGCCACAGCAAGCCCCCCGGGTGGAAAGAGGAAGAGGGGCTCAGAGGGCAGGACCGGGGAGGAGCGGACCTGACACTGCAGGATGCGGCCTCTGCAAGGCGTTTACAGAACCAGGAGTGCCGGGCGCGGTGGCACTCTGCCTCGCTGATGGTGCTCCCACTGCCCCGTGCCAGGAAGGTGCTTCGGGCTCGTTCCCTCTCCTTGACGGTCAGAAGCCTCAGTAGAGAGTTCTGGGGAAGAGGAGATAAGTTAAGGTCTCTTCAGATAAGGTGAAAACATCTTGAAGACTACAGAGAGCCACGCCTCCACGGCCTAACCTCTCCTGCCCCCTCCTCACGCCCCCAGAGCCTCTTTGATAGCCTGACGTTTTTCGGGGAGTCCAGTGAAAGCCGATCTTCTCCAGCAGTCTCCTCAGCCCTGGTCACTGGCCATCTCTCACTGGATGGACCCGGCACCCTTTCCCGATCCACGCTCTTGTTTGGACGGTTGCCAATGCTCCCCTAACGTGCCCAGCATGCATCTGAGGCCTCTGCCAGCCCTGGACATTCGTCACCGCTGCTCCTCACCTGGGGACGCAGCTGCTGCAGCAGCAGGAGAGATTCATGGGACAAGAAGTCGGACCACTCTACGTGGCCTCGATGTTCAGGGTCCAAGGCCGCGAACTGGCGGGCGGCTTGCTCCTCCTGCTCATCACTCAGGGCCCGGCTGCTCTCCCCTCGCTTGGCTGCCTGGTGGCGGTAGCGCACGAAGTCCTCCAGCGTCAGGGAGCAATCTGTGAAGGCACCCTTGCTGGCTATGCCCGCCCTTCCTCACCCTTCCTCAGCCTTGGCCGCCTTCACTCTCCTCTAAGGCACCCTTGGTGCCTCCACGGTCCCAGTTCTTGTCCAGTTCTGCCTCCCATATGCAGGAGAGCTCAGGGGGGCTGTGGGGGAAGTGGGTGCCTCTGACGGCCACAACTCAGGAACAAGGACTCGTTCACCCCTGCCCCCCAAACCCCCCAATCCTCTTCTCACCCTCTGTTCATCCCAGAAAGGAGGAGAGGGAGTGTTTCTGGCCCCTCCTTCTCGGCAGCACCTGCCGGCCTTACCAGGGATGACTTTACAGCGCTGGAAGGTCTCTGTGAGGCTGTACATCTCCTCCTCAGTCAGCAGCAGGTTAAGGTTGTCCTGAGAGAAGGGAAAAGCGGGGTTAGTGGCCACACGGGCCAGTGACACATGGAAGCCAAGGGTCAAGAAGGATGGAAATGTCTCCACCCAGAGAGATGGCAGAATCACCGGATCCCAGCCCCTCTCACAGTCAAGGAGACAAAGGTCCCAGAAAGAGGAAGATTTGCTCTGGGCTGTCTGAATTTGGGGAAGAATCGTCCCTGGAATCCAGATATCCTGACCCTGGCTGAGTCCCTTTAGTAAAATAGTGGCCTTCAGTGACCCCACGAGCAAATGGAGGGATGTCACGGAAGTATCTCACGCAGCTGCTGCAGGGCGTGAAGACCACGAGTGCGCGGTGCTTGGTCCTGGCCCTGTCATCACGCGCCCAGCATGTATTTATTTTATAGGCACTGGCTGTGCTTAAAGCACATTTTAGTTAAAAAACCAATTAGCCCTGCTTCTAGTGGGTTGTGCAGATTTAAGTGGTTCTAGAACGGTTTTGAAATGTTCCTGAACAAAATGAATTTTTATGATGTCATAGAAGTTTTAATTACTAGGAAGCACTGAGATCTTATTCTGTTAGCATTACTATGCAGTCTTTTTTGTTTGGTTTGGTTTTGGTTTTGGTCTTTTGAGACAGGGTTTCTCTGTGTAGCTTTGGAGCCTGTCCTGGAACTTGCTCTGTAGACCAGGCTGACTTCGAACTCACAGAGATTGTCTGCCTCTGCCTCCCGAGTGCTGGATGGGATTAAAGGTGTGCGCCACCATTGCCCGACTTACTATGCAGTCTTTAAACTACTGAAAGTTCTTTGTAGGGTGGCTGTGGCGTAATCCTTTAATCCCAGCACTTGGGAGGCAGAAGCAAGCGGGTCTCCCTGAGTTTGAGGCCATCCTGGCCTACAGAGTGAGTTTTCAGGACAGCCAGGGCTATACAGAAGAATGTTGTCTTGAAAAACCAAATAAATAAATAGTAAGTAAGTAAAAATTAAAAGAATTAGAGAATGCAAGTTCATTGTAATAGTTGGCTAAGTTTCCTCCTAAAATTCTAGCCAGGAGCAGATGCAGATATCTCCTGAGTATTCATCTATAAGTTTCACAAAATCCAACGATCCTTTCAGTACACACCTACCGAGCATCTGGTGTGTGCTGGGCACAATAGCATAACACTGTGGTATCCAGTGTGGCTGCTGTGCGTGAATGGGAAAGGGTTCAAGGGGAAATAAAAACAGGTAAGGAGCTGTGAGGCTCCTCCCATGGCCTTCACCGAGTCCCTTAGCTTAGGCTTCATGCTAAGGACAACAGGGAGGCACAGAGGGTGGCTGTCCTCCATCTCTGCCTGCTGTAGGGAAATGGTACAGAGAGGGGGTAGGTAAGGTACAGGTAAGAAGAATGAGTGTGTAAACCCAGACCTGAGAACAGGGACGGGGAAGGAGGTGGGAGATGTCAGCAGTCCAGTCAACAGAAGCTGGTGACTTACCGGCCGGGAGGGATGAGGGCCAGGGAAGAGCTGGGACTGGGAACTGGTGAATGGTATTACTATTCACAGAGACAAGGAATGGAGAAAGAGCAGGTCAGGCAGAAAGATGAGTTAATTTGGGGCATCGGTAGATGAACTGCCGGTGAGACATCAAGATGGAGAAGCCCCCGAGACAGGAAATTTAAGTCTGGACACAGATATGGGAATCACGGATGCGTAGATAGTGGGTTATAGGATGAAGTCACTCAAAGACAGCAAGCAGGTGAGGAAAACGGAGGAATCCTGAGGAACACAGCACCTAGACTGGAAATAAACCGAGGGTATTGAGAAAGAATGGTGGAAGAAGGCTGGAGGAGACGGGAGGACGACTGGATACCAAGCAAGGACGGCGGCGTGCCGTAAGAGGCGAATGAACAGTGGCAATATACATGTGGCGGGATTTTATTATTTGTGAATCTCTAGTTTCCACATATTGTATAAATTCTAGAAAATAAATGCCAAGGAAAGAGAAGGGAACAAGGCAGGGTTCATCACTCCACTCAGAAAGCCTGAGTAAGAAGGCGCCAGAGAACAGATCATTGCACTTGACAATTAGGAGATTATTGATGACCTCAGTACAAGCCAGTTCAGCAAGGTGCTGAATGCAGAGGTCAGGCTGGAGGGGTGGAGGAGTCAGGAGGCAGGAAAGCGCTCTTAAGAAGTGTGATTGTGAATGGCAGGAAAAGAAGGGAGGAACTGGGAGGAAGTCTTTGTAAAAAGCTGGTAGAGGTGGTGTTGGTAATGGCAGGACCCCAGCAGCGCTGGGAAGGAAGCAGAGCATTCTGGGAGACCACAAAGAGACACATATTGACCCAGGCCCATGCTGGCAGCACACTGGCAAGCAGGGTTGCCGTAAGTGAAAGGCTGGTGGTGGCGGCAGTGTGGTGTATGTAAGGGCCGGGGGAGAGGACGTAGAGCAGGGTCTTCTGCGGTGTATTCTAGAGGGGAGGTATTCAGCAACTGGAAATAGCTTCCAGACTTGATTTTGTGGATCAGCCATGGGTGGAGAGTCAGAAAGAGGAGGAGGACAGTCGCCAGCTGCTCCTTACACTGCATCAGAGGGTGGTGAAGAGTCTGCAGGACAGCACAGCAGGAAGGAAAGGCCGGGATTCTGCTCCCGGATGGTGATAAAGGGCTGTGAATCTAGCTTTCAATGGAAACCTTAGATTCCTTCTGCCATTAGGAGTTGGAAGGCATTTATATATAGTTGCAGAGTTACGAATCAATACAGCTTTGCTATTTAATTCACATAATGATCACTTCAGAGATGAGGAACAAAAGCTCCTAACAGGCAGTAGGTCAGGTGGGGACACCAAGACAGTGTTTTCCTGCGACAGGACCTACCTCTGCTGGAAGCACGCTCTGCAGGATGCAGGCTGGGGTTCAGGTATAAGGAATGGCAGCTGTAGACTTTTAGAGAACCTAGCACCTCCCAATGCAGAACTTCTTTCCATCAGTTAGGCCTATTCTTTTTATGATGCTTAGCTGAGGGTGGTTTTGCCCCCGCTGGAACACACTTGGCAAAGGTGTCTGGGCCTGTGTGCTCTGAGCATATTATTTTTTAAGTGCCATACAGTGCACCTCCCAGCAAAGAACTGAAGGTCTAGCTCTAGGACCCTTGCATGCACTATTAGAAAACCCCTTAAATCACTGCTTAGAAACAGTCATTTTTAAGACTGGGCCTCTGGAAAGAATGCCAAGTCTTCCTACCATCCCGCAGTCCAGACTCACACAGTAGTAGCAGCTCCAGCCTATTTCTGTATGGGCCATCTCCGTCACCTCCGCTGCACTGTCCCCTTGGAGGTAGCCCATGCGGCGCAGGCAACCATCATGGAAAACCCTGGTGCAGATTCTGCATGGAAAGAGGCTCTCAGCCGTCCAGACTTCGCAGATATCACACATCTCATCGTTGACAACCTGGCAGGAAGGAACAGGATTTGAAGGTACAGATAGCGAGACCCTGCAGCTGCTGCATGGGGCTGGGTCTCTCTGGAGCCACAGGTTAAGGTGTAAAGAGTGTTCTTCCTGGTGGATGACAGCCAGGAAGCTCTTCTAGCTGCTTAGGGCTCTGTTACTATGTTTCGGAACAGGGATACAATTAGCACTTCATAGAGAATAATCTGTGTGAGTGATTGTCCCAAGCATGATACAACATTTAACATCCCCAGCTATCTTGATACTTTATGACAGCAGAAGCCCGCAACCATTGTATCTTACCCCAGTTCCCCCTCCTCAGTTTCCCAAATGTCCCCTACGGGGGGGGGGGGCAGTACCCTCTGTGGTTGAGAATCCACAGATGATAGGGTTAGCGCAAGATCTGTCATGCCGCCATCCCTTCCCACTCAAAAGTCCAAGTCTTTCACTACGACTAATTCAAGATATACCCAGTATTTCATTCATATGGAATTCCGTTTCCCTTTGTGGTACTGGGGATAGGACACGGGGACTTGACCATGCAAGGCAAGCACTCTCTACTGAGACACATTCAAACCTGTCTTGTGGGAAAAGGACTGTTCAGAACCCAGCTCCATCTTCTGGTTCAGAGTCTCACCTCAGCCACACCTAGCTTTCCCTGTCCTCTTCTTTGATCCTTATAAAGGCTAAGACAGGGGAATCCTGCCTTAACAGAACACTCACAGCCTCCCGGGGATCCAAGCAGATGTCTGGAGGTTTGTCGTCATCCAGCTTCCGGGTGGGTCGGATGAAGGCAGGGGGTGTGAATCTGCTGGTCCTGTCAAACTCCTCAGGCTCAATTCCACGCCCATCTCGGAGCCGCTCCCAGGCTGCACGGTTGATGCCGCTCTCTTCCTGGACCACGGGGGCACTTGTCTCTGCTTCCTTTTCTTCCTGTACTTCCTGAACAGAGCCCTCCAAAGTGCCGCGGCGGGACCCTGGCAGCTCACCCCCACGTCTAATGGAAGGCCTGTCCCGCAGCCCATCCTTGAAGGCTGACACAGCCAGGCTCACCTTCTGCACCTGCTCCACCGTCTGCCGCTTGGACATCAACACCCCCATGGCTCTGCGGACAAAATCAGTTTTAGCCATTCACGGAAAGGGCAGGTACTACTAAATAGTGTAGCAAGAGCACATGCTAAGAAGTCAGAAGACCTTGCGTGGTTCTGCTTCCGACTGGCTGTGTGGTTTTGGTTTTCCCATCGGTGGACTGAGGGCTATCTGTTCAGCACACTTCAGAGTGCTGCCGTGAGGACAACATAAGAGAATGAACTTGGGCGGGGGGTACAGCTCCACAGTAGAGAGCTTTGTGCTGCATGCTTAAGGCCCCCGGTTTTACCTCATCTAAACATGTACGTCTGTGTGTGTGTGTGTGCGCGCGCACACACACACACACACACACACACCATATACAAGAAAGAAGAAAAATCGTGCTTAATTAAGCAGAGAGTACTATACATATGCAGTAACTGTCTTCCATGTTACTGGAGAGCTGGTCCAGCCCAGGGGCATCAGGTCTCTGCTACTTTGAAGTGGTTGGGACTCCAGATCTCAAGTTTTTCCTCTTCCCTAGAAGGAGACTTAACACATTTCAGGTTTTCTGGTTGAAAGAAAGCACCTCCAGTAAGTACTGTGCACAGTCCACCCAGGGTCTATCCTGACCGAGTGCTGGCTAATTTTCTTTTTTTTTTTTTTTTTTTTTTTTTTCGAGACAGGGTTTCTCTGTGTAGCTTTGCACCTTTCCTGGAGCTCACTTGGTAGCCCAGGCTGGCCTCGAACTCACAGAGATCCGCCTGGCTCTGCCTCCCGAGTGCTGGGATTAAAGGCGTGCGCCACCACCGCCCGGCGCTGGCTAATTTTCAAGCCAGAGTGAATGAATTTCTATTTTTTAAGTCTCCTGAATGAGGCAGTCGGGAAATTTTGTCACCTCCATGTATGTGGTCAAGGTCACTAACATCCCCCGGTCCCCTCTAGTGGGTCTCTCACTCGCAGACAAGGGGCCTATTCAAGGTAGGAACCTGCTGCTCTTCTAGGACTTTATGAATGTTACACTCACATTTTCACCTTCGCTTTTATACTCTTCAATAAGACCCATAACTTCTCACAAGTTAAAAGGAATATTACCCCTGTCCTCTGCAGGGCCACAGTACAGTGGGAGAAGGTAAGGATAGGACCCAGCACATGGCAAAGCTGGTCTACTCCTTCCTACTCATAGGAGCCTCACTGGAAGACGGCTGAGGAATGGTTGTTCTAAGCAGAGCAACAGTCCAACCTCGCCCTCAGCACCCTCTAATCAAGGCTGACTGAACAGCACCAAGTTCAAGGCACTACGCACTCGTAGGAAATGGAGATGGAACAGCACCACCCCATCCAAGCTTTAAACACCAGATTCCAAAGAAGCAACCAGACCTGGATAAACCGATGTCCCCTATCCATACAACGGGATAGCCTTCTCTCACAAAAAAAGTGTTGACATACACTAAACATGGATGTGCCTTGAAAGGAGATATCTATGGGAAAGCAGAGGTTCTGTGATTACGTTTATGCGAAATGACGAGTAATTTTAGGGAAATAAAATAGACTGGTGCTTCCCTAAGTCTGCAGAGAAGTTGTGGGTGGGTGTGGCTGCCGATGGGCATGGCTTTATTGGGGGGGCAACAAAAACATTCTACTGTTAGAGTGCGGTGATGATTGCGTAGCTGTGCGTACGCTAAAAACAATTTAGTGCCACACTCTAAATGAGTAAATTTTATGGCACAAACTATATAGCCATGTGGCTATTTTTAAGGTTCAAAAATGTGTGAGACCACACTATCAGGTCACAGGGGACCTTAGGGAATGTGTGAGAAGCTATCTTCAGTTTATTTGGGGGAAAGGTGGCCATGGGTAAAAGGCAAGGCAGAGACAGTTGAAGACTACTATACTAGCCTGGGTAGAGGCTGAGGGCTTGAACTGAAGTAAGGGCAGGTATGACACTGAGTGCATTTGTTGCCATGGAAACAGAATTAGGGAATTTTAGGAACAAACTGGTAACTAACTGGCTGAAGGACAAAGTGGTAGCTGGCAATTTTAAAAAGACCAGCCAGGGAGCTGGGAATACGTTAGAGGAATCACTGGATTCTGATGCTGAGTTAAGGGATCCCAGGACACTCGGGAACATCTGGAACAGCACGGATGTGATTTTCAGGGGCTTTCTACAGCTGCCAGGATCGAACCCCTCAAATCTGTGCTTTTGCTATGGCATATGAGGCACCATACGTTCGGACTTCCCTTCCCTTCTCTGTGTTCCAAGCTCTACTGGCCCTGCTGCAGCCTTTATTTGACATTACTGCCCCCTCTTCCCGGCTTGCTCAAGTACAGTTTCTTTGGGGAAGTCACTGCAGACTCCAGACTGGAGTGCTCCCAGAACTGGAGCACTTGCTTTCCTCATCACATGTTTAATGGGATGATCATCTGATCAACGCCAGCTTCCTCTGACTATTTCACCGTGTGCCACACCTACCTCCACCCTAGTGAGCTATCTAGACCAAAACAGATGCTAAGAAACATTTTCAAAGCCAGGCACAGTGGCTCAGGCCTGTGATCCTAGTACTCTGGGGGCTAAAGCAAGATGACTGCTGAGTTCAGGGCCAGCCTGGGCTACAGAGGAAGACACTGTCTCAAACAAAACCAAGCCAAAGGCTGGGGAGGAGGCTCATCTGTAACGTGCCTGCTGCACACACAGGACCAGAGCTGGATTCCCAGAAACACAGAAAAAGGCAGGTGTGATGGAGTGCATGGGAAACTGGAGACGATCTGACGGCAGCAGATCTAGCCTACTCCACAAGTCCCGGTCCAAGTGAGAGGCACTGTCTCAAAAAACAAAGTGGATGGTTCCTAAGGATAACACTCAAAGTTGGCCTCTGGCCTCTACATGTGCGTGCGCACACACACACACGTGCACACACACACATATACACACACCTCTGTACACGCACACACACATACACAAATGCACACACCCCTCTATACAGGCATACACACACATACACACATACATACACACACCTCTATACACGCACACGCACATACATACACACACACACACACACACACACACACACACACACAAAGCAAAAATACCAAAGCCAAATCGTTTCAGTTAATTGTCAAGAAGTCTTGTTTTTTGGGGGGTTGGGGACGGTTTGAGACAGGGTTTCTCTGTGTAGTTTTGGTGCCTGTCTTGGAACTCACTCTGTAGCCCAGGCTGGCCTTGAACTCACAGAGATCCGCCTGTCTCTGCCTCCCAAGTGCTGGGATCAAAGGTATGCGCCACCACTGCCCGGCTGAAGTCTTACTTTTCTAAACAAAACCTTACTATGTACCATGTCTGCTGACAACCACATATTCTTTCCAGAAATATTTATCGCTTGAATGCACCACAGTGGTACAAATTTCTACCCCGCAACTTACTGTTACCAAGCAAACTCATGGTTTGATTTTGTTTTTGAAATGGAGTCTCACTATGTAGCCTTGGCTGTCCTGGAACTCACTTGTAGACCAGGATGGCCTCAAACTCACAGAGCTGCCTCCTGAGTGTTGGGATTCAAGGTATACGACACCAGAAACCCATATTCTTGAATTGATAAACTGAGAAGACCTGCTTCTTCCATGTTAGTTAGTTACAAAATTTAAAATAAAACTCAAAAGGATAAAAGGCCCCGACATATAAAATTAAAGAATGTTTACTGTAAATGAGTCTTACAGGATGGTAACAAAAGTTAATTGAAAGATCTCGGACAATGGTTTTCAACCTGTGGGTCATGACCCCTTGGATCAAATGACCCTTTCACAGGGTAGCATATCAGATATTTACATTACAACTTATAACAGTAACAAAATTATAGTTATGAATTAGCAATGAAATAATTTTATGGTTGGGTGTCACCACAACATGAGGAACAGTATTAAAAGGTGGCAGGGTTAGGAAGGTTGAGAACCACTGGTCTAGGAAGTCATGTCTCAGTGGACAATCAAAGTAGATTCCTTTTTAAAAATAATTTTATTTTTATGAGTGTTTTGATCACATGTATATCTCGTATCACCTGTATGCCTGGTGTCCTCAGAAGCCAGAAGAGGGCATCGGATTCCCTAAAAATGCAGTTACAAACAGTTGTGAACCATTATGTAGGTGCTTAGAATTCAGCTCAGGTCCTCTGGAAGAGCAGCAAGTGTTCTTAACCACTGAGCCATCTCTCCAGGCCCTCAAAGTAAATTCTGATTAAAAAATACTTTCCTCCTTCCTTTTCAAAATAAATACCAGGGGCTGGAGAGACATTTCAGCAGTTAAACCTCATATTGCTCCCAAAGGCTCCAGCTCCATTCTCAGCACCCATGTGTGGCAGTTCACAAATGCCTCTAACTTCATCTCGAGGAGATGGGATTCCCTCGAGCCTCCACAGGACCCTGCACTTATAAGCAATACTGCTCTCCACATACAAATAAATAAAAATCTAAATTTAAAAACAGATGTGTTGTTCGCAACATAAAAAGAAAAAATGATAGCACAGGACAGGGAAGACGCAAGGGCGTGAAAAACATTAAGGTGCAAGCGTGTCACTGTGGAAAGATGTTCAAAATATGCAAGTGTATTGATAACGGGCACACCACAAAGTGCTGACAGGATCTGTGGTCTCTGAATGAGAATAGCCCCCATAGGCCCATGTCTGAGGACCTGGTTCCCAGTTGGTGGGACTGTTTGGGAAGCCTTAGGAGATGTGGGTTTGATGGAGGAGGTGTGCCACTGGGGGTGGACTTTGAGGTTTCCAAAGACTTGCCATTCCCAGTTAGCTCTCTCTGCCTTCTGCTTGTGGATCAAGATGTGAGCTCTCAGGTGCTTCTCCAACCACCTGGTGCCACACTTCACCCTGCCATCACAGAGTCTAAGCCTCTGGGATCATAAGCCCAATTAAACTCTCTCTTTCACAAGAGTTTCCTTGGTCATGATGTTGACCAAGTAAACAGCAACAGACAAGAAACTAAAGCAGGATCTAAGCTTATTTTCCAGTTTCTCTCCAAGCCCATTTC